TGGGGACCGCGTGATCCTCACTGTGCCTGGTCGGAGACACTACAAGATATGGCTGCCAACCGATGTCAGTGGCGTCCTTGTTGTCAGTTTCTATCCAGATTGCCTGAGTGAATGTCTGGAGGTGTAGGCACCGCGGAATTATTGTTTTAAGCTAGCCTTAAGTCCCTTCCCCATCCACCTTTCCTCTTTTCTTCACAATAAGGGTTTCAAATAAATCATGGTTGTACGGCAGTGAAGCATCTGTGTTGAACATTGATGTCATGCTGTCAATGATGATGATGCCAAACCCTTCCCACCACACAAGCAAAAGCCCCTGGGTCATTTGATTGTGAGTTGTCTGACCGAAGGTCCTTATGCTCCTCGCTCCCGACTAACGATAAATGGAATAACCTAAATCCATGGAACCATTTCTATACGGAAGCTCTCAACGTCCGTACTCTTTGTCAGCTTGACAAACAGGCGATGCTCGCAGAAACCTCATACTCCCTTAAAATTGATGTGCGCTGTCCCCGAAACAGGCATACAAAACACAAGCATGGTTATGCATCTCAGAACACCAACGGTGGACTCAGCTCTTTCACATTTCTCCCTCAGTGTGTCCGGTGGTCAAGAAGCAAGGACTCGTGGAATATTTGGCGTTGGAGTTGCACTCATGCGCCTTTCTGGATTGCACCCCAGTGAACAGTCGGCTTTTCGCCGTCTGGTTATCCAGCTCAATCAAGCTCAGCACCTCTCGACATAAACAGAGGTACCTTTTCGTAGTGTCGGCTTGTGCCCCAACAGACTGCAGGTCTGATGCTGAAAAGGGTACCTTCCATCGAGAGCTATCCGGGCTCATTCATCAAGCAAAAAGCGATCTGAATGCTTAAGTAGGTCGTCTGGGCTCTTCGCAATCGCATTTGGGCGGTCGATTCGGAGTCGATGCTCGCCGCACAGACAACGGAGATCTACTTCATTTGTGTGCTGATCATGAACTGTTTTTGGCTAGTACGAACTTTCAACATGAACGTTCGCACTGCGTAACCTGGCGGCCGCCAACTACAAATCAAACGTGGACCCAGTTGGACCACGTGCCCATCAGCTACCGGTGGAAAGTTACAGTTTAAGACTACCGTTCCTTCTGGGGTACACCACTTGGTTCCGACCACGCCATGGTGCGTGCACACCTGACAGTTCGTTTCCCTTCAGGCCCTCGCAAGTCAGCAAGAAGCATACCAATCCACTGTCTTCGAAGAACTACCATAGCTCAACAGTATCGATCTGAGCTAGCCCAACAACTTTCCACAGTAAAACGATACTGTGGTGGCAGTGAGCATGTGGATGAAGCTTGACAAAATATGAAAGCATCTATGTTAGCGGCGTTCATTGCAATCTGTCCGACTTATCCGATTCAACCACAAGACTATTTGATGTCGTCGAGATAGCTATCTATGATTGATGCCAGGAAACCCATACCAGCGGGCAACGCGTATGACGGCGCTCGCAAATCCCTCAAACGCTAAATAGTGAAGAGTCTAAGGAAAGATCGAAAGCTCGGGAGATGAAGAAGGCTTTTGTTCCCTATATCAACTGATACGATCGGCTGGCTCTTGGAAAGCAACGGTCAGTGAAACGATAAGTGAAAAAGATGGTTCACTAATTCACTCACAAAAACGTCGACTTCGAACACTTCGAGATACAGTTCAGCTGACCTCCTGCAACACGTACAGGTATACGGGTGAATGGAATGTAAACGTTGATCGCCCGTAGAAAGGATAAATAAAGTACGAAATATCCGTACTGAGACGTGACAAGGCACAGGGACCTGATGACCTGTATCCAGCTTTCTTCAAAGAAGGTGGAGAATTCCTGTTGACCCATCTGACAAGGCTTATCGGTACTATATGGAACTGCGACAAGGTGTCTGCAGAATGGGGCATGTCGACAGTTATCCCTATCTTCAAAAGGGGTACGCGGACGCTGTGTGAAAAACATCATGGAACCAGTCTGTTAGCTGTGGCATCGAAGGTGCTCTTTCGCCTTATCCTTCGAAGGTTGACTGAACACAGGGAGAAAGAGATACGTGAAAACCAAGCTGGGTTCCGTCCTGCAAAAGGTTGCATCGATCATATTTTCACCCTCTGACAGATTCTGGAATAGTGACACTGTTTCCCGCAAACAACAATGTTAGTGTTTCTTGATCTGAAGGCTGTCTTTGACTCTGTGGACCATGAGGCACTATGGCAGTGTCTGTGGAGCAAAGGTGTCCCCCATAAATTCTTGAGGCTTCTTAAGGCGCCGTAAGCCATCTCCCACGGGCAGGGGTCCACAGGAAGCTCTCTTCTGAGTCCACCACATCAAGTGGTCTCACTTCTCCTCTTCAACTTTGTCATTAATACGGTTGTGGAAGACTCACTATGAGCCTCTGATGCCTGTGGGGTCGAAGTGTTCCCGAGAAGTGCGCTCAGAGGTGTCGATAAACGCAGACGACATAGCTTGCCTTCCTTCTGACCCCATGGTAGTTCAAACAAAATTAAATAATCTAGGTAATTACGCCTCACGGTTTGGGATGCAAAGTGATAATGCGAGACTGGGTGAGCTCGGAAACCAACCTCATGCTTGCGGATGAGCCGATTGAGGTGGTAGACAAATTCGTCAAACGATGACTTGGCAGTCAAGTATGATAGCCACTACCAGCTTATTCCAGGTCGGGAAGGTCCTCTTCCGGACACTGGGATTTTGAAGGCAATTCTGTGTTCGCCTTGTTTTCTCGTCAACAACGAAATTAAGCAAAAATAGAGGGGAACCACTGCTTATAGGGAACCTTTTGGAGAGCTGCTCGGTCGGTCTAACACCCGTGTATGCATGTGAATACAAACAGCGCATGATGCTCGCATGCCCCGCCGTGCAATCATGTTACTGATCTAGAGAATCTAACGCACTCTTAATGCCAAAATCCCACTGATTGTGGAGTGCCTATACACTTGTCGGGTCCCGTCTTCACGTGTCTTGGTAAGACGACGCAAAGTAAGTGATGTAAACGGCATATTATAGTGGGAGTCAGTTTAGTTCTTCTGTGATTGTCACACTCAGTTCATCCAGCACTATTGTATTCTCGACCAGGAGGAATACCTATCCTAACGTCGAACCGTTTTAGGGTATTGTTCGAGACACAATGCTTACATGTAGTTGTTGGAACCATTCCGGTAGCAGATAACCCAGAATATTTCCAGGACGAGTCAACATGAGAAGACATCTTGTCCGAAGCGGACAGGTCATTTTGGCAAACTTGTTTCACATCAGGGTCTCTTCAGTGACCGGACGACGTGTGGTCATTAATCACTTCCCTGAAATGCGTAACTAGGAGCAGCAACGAACAAGCACGTGATCCGAATCCATATTGGTGTTCCAGAACGACCGACAGTCAGTAGTTGGCCCATGCCACCCATAGCTAATGGCGATTTGGCAATCTGTGTTGGGGGTTGGCTCGCATACCGAAGGAGAGGACCTTGCACATCCATATCTCCGACAGCGACAACAATGTCTGAGCACTTGGGCCGCCACAATTGGGCGCTCAAAGCATCGTCAAAACTTTTTGATTGAATCAGACCTACAGTCTTTTGAGGAAGATACGATGAGCAGACAGCTATTATCGGTGCGTTTACGGGGTACTCTCACATACGTTACCAAACGAACTGCACACAGGGGACTGTCAGGGCAGTCATTCGACCAGGGGCTATTTAGCTTAGTGAATTTAAACAATTATGAGTAGCGTATTACGTCAATGCCAACTCATCAGCGGTAAGCAACCAGGAGTGACTGGAAACGTAAGGGGAGGTTATCTGAACAACAAACAGTACTTAGGTCTTCAGTCCTCGTTTCAGACAGACAGCACATATCAGTAGAAAGCTAGTCCAGCGTACATGCAAGAGCAGTCTGTTGTCCAACTAGCTTCAGAGCGCAAACGCTAAGTGCTACCAGACGACCCGAACCTCGGGGTTTGAACGATAATTCCGGAGTGCTTGTGATCATGGCGACGTAGTCAGTTGTAATTATTGGCGTTGGTAGCAGTGGGTGGTGGACAGATTTGTCAGTCCCTAAGAAAGCGTCTTTGGAGGTGTTGTTAGAAACGGGGTGAAGAGGGGGGACGAATATGTGAAAGGAAGAAGCTACTGTGTCAGCACCTTAACTTCTTTTCGTCATGAATATAGACTCGGTTGACCCACGTAAAGTACGGGAATTTCTGCACCTGTACGGGATCACGTTTTTGTGTCGTAATAGGTTTACGACGTAATGATGATCATCTATACCATCGAGCTGGTTTTTGAAGTCAAGTTAATAGTGAATGGATCTGTCGTTCAGCCTGTATTCGTCCACACGGAACTGGAGTGAGCAGTTTTCACACACTCCCGTTACTTGGATGGAATATCTGCCACTTTATCGCATTATTGTGACTTACTCACTATAGTAGTTACTGGCATCACCATCGATGTCTCACTGACGTCCAACAACTCCAATTCATTTGTAGGAGGTTCTGATGTGGAAGATCAAAATGAAGAGTGAGAATAGTATAGTGCTAGCTAACATCACAAGTTCTCACCTCTCCACAACTTGGAACACTACATTAGCCAGCAGCTTTCTGAGTGAGTAGTTCCTTCCTTAACTTTGTAGCAACCCAAGAACCGTATAACGTCATCAGATTTTTTCCCATCCCAATTCATCACACCGCAACGTTTCGCTCTCCATATTTGTAGTCAGTCAGTCGAACTTCCGATGAGGTCACACTACCAAATGCCGTAGGCACAGACAATCACAGTGAAAAGCCGTTGTGTTCTGCAAGTACTGAGGCTTCCAGCCGATGTCCTCCGTGCATCCCCACTGTGCAGCATGTGTCAGAAAGTTCTTCGTAAGTCTACCGATCCCATTATTTTGCCTGTGTATTTTCCTTTTTCTGAAGTAGGTACATCGTAATGTAGATAACCAGTATGATCCACCTTTGGTGATTATATATTTGAGTCACTGGGTACTCACATTTGCTTTTCTTAGGGTGACTATCTAACTGTATTTCCATGAGCGTTTTTTGGAGTGTTTTTCCTTCGAAAATTGGTTATTTAGCTGCGTGTTAAAGAAGACTAATATTTATTTCTAACTCATCTGTCCCCAGTTTGTGTTAAGGTTGTGGATATATCAGCACTCGATCCAGGCACCATTAGAGGTAACATTCACTGTTCTCCTCTCCTCAGCAGGTTGAAGCTAACAGTGCAAAGTTTTGGGTCAAGCTGACGTTTCCTAAACCATGGTTCTGTCGCTGTCACCATCAGTCAATACAGATTCTGCTGTTGACAGTGGTTGGACCGCTGGACTCCTGAAGATGCCTAGGCTAATATAAACGGGTTGGGCTGAGGCTGATTTGTTACTGCGGGCAAACCTGTAAATTCGGAAGATAAGGTCGACGGGAAAACTCGCAACTGCTCATTGGTGTGCCACAGTCGGTCTAATCACACCCAGAATTTCCACAATCGCTTTCATAAGTCACCACAGCTTACGTTGGTAGAATCGGTTCACAACAGCTCTCTATCGGTAGCTCAGGGATGAGCCTCAGCAGCTTTGATACTCTCGTGGAAGCGGGTGTCTGCCGCATCTGTACGCATCTTCACCCCCCACTGCATATTCGCCGGTGCCCACCTACTTATGTATCAGTATACATTGACTGCATTAATGGTGATGTGGATACTTGCAGTACTTTTAGAATAGTTTTGGAGGGGGGTCTGATCATTCCACAGGTCAACCCTCTACTCAATTTATTGGATGGATGCTGCAGTTCATCGAAAATGAAGGCTTTCTTCGACGCTTTCATGAAACCTTAAAGTTGACTTGTCAGTTGAGCTACATACGGGTGTTTTGATTGAAATAAACTGGTTTTCTCCTGGGACGTTTATTTGGTCTATTTTCGTAACTGTCAGATTTTCTGCTCATCTGAACATACACACACTCTTGTTTCCTAGGCCTGTGGACTGTGGCATCCCAGACAGTCAGACGTTGTCACCTTATTGTTCACGGATTTTAGAGAACGCTGTTCTCCCGACAGCGGGTAAGTCCTACTCAAAGCTTTTTTCGTTTTGTTCGTTTCATATTGTCCCACTTCTCTCCTGTTCCGCTTCTATGGTACTCTTCACCTTCGCCCCCAGTCACTCGCCTGAATGATATGTTACGGTCCACATCAGAAAGCGTATTCAATATTGTTGAAGTAACTCGAACGGAACCACTATGGCACACTTTCGTGGGCGATTTCATCGAATGGATTCGGCGATTCGACAAGTGCAGCTCCCACTTGAGTTCCATCGCTGTTCAACCATGTTGGATGATGGGATCACCGGATTTATCTATTTTACCCAACGCACCAATTCCGTGCACTTGGCTCTCGGGTCCTGCCGGCCATCCGTCAGTGGGAGGTGGCGTTGATCTGAACTCTAACAAACATCCTTTGGCCCTTACATTGACTGGATTGGCTGTTTCATCCCAACTTCTCCTTCCCAATACCGTATTTTGGATAGAATTAGATTCTTCAGGTAAGCTCACAGTGTGTTTCAGACCGTCCATACTTAAATCAGACGGTTCTTCAGTACGCAAGCTGAGTCAGCACTTACCGAGTGCAAGTAGCGCCCTGCTGCAGTCTGCTTGCAGCGTTACAGGAGCTCCTCCACCGCGAATGTTTGGCTATATCTTACCTGTGACTTTTAGGTGGTGGAAGCCATATGCGATGGGTACATTGTTCTTTATTCGGTTTTGTTCAAATAATGGCGCACGCGGCTCAACCCCAATTCTTCCCAGCATTACTTATCTTGCATATTTTTACATGACAGGCAAATCACCGATCCAGCGCTGGTCCACCGTGTGTTGTATTACGATGCTGTTGTGATTTTGGAGAGGCCTAAATGGCGCACCAACATATATGTGCGTAGTTCTTCTGCCGGAAAAAAAGTAAACCTTGTCGCACTATTATACTTTGCTTTCTCCCAATTGGCAAATTTCTAAGAATTCTTGTGTGTTCGAATCACAAGTATGAAGGGGTACAAGTGTCAAACAAGTTTGTTTCAACGTGACCATCATACGGGGTTTTTCAGGCTAGCTCTGTCGTATGGTTTACTTTCTAGCCTACTCTGGCTCATTGAGGACGATCACATTGACAATCACTGAAACTGAGTAGTGCATCACAAATGTCACTGAAACTAATTTCATGTAGACACATTCTTGATAGGCAGCTGAATGTATTAGTCCAGAATTTTCAAGTGTCGAGGGGAATTCTCCTGTTGCAATGGTCGACCTTTGCAGTTGGTTGGATTCTACCATACATACATACATACATTTGCACTTACTTGCGCAGCGGGACCCTCCGACTTTGTCCAGTTTATCAGTTAGGTTACCACAATTTTTGGTTGTTCAGGTTTGGACATGCTTTGGCTTTTAGGTGCAGGGTTGGAAGTTTAGTAATTAGTTATACAACCCCATTGCAACCGTGGTTTATCACTTTCGCGTGCTTCCTCCCGTGACCTGCTGTTGGTGGCCTCCTTCAAGGTGAAACCCATCTTGTGCCGACTTTATGCGGCTTCTGCCCACTGACTTGTCAATAAACAGATTCTCCATTCAGTCGGTTCCCTCAATTTAGTACCGTACAAACTGAACCGTATCTATACGTTTTTATTTCAGCACCGGGGCTTGTCTACTACGGGGGGATGTTCATGCCTCACTGGTCACATTTTTTCAAGCATGAACACGTTCGCGTGTGTAGACGTGATAACCCAGATGCCTCCAGTGTGCGCCACTGGAGTAGTGGTAACACTCGCCTCACACATCAGGTGTCCGGAGTTCAAACCTGGGAGCTGCCAAGGATGTTTACTGCTGTAGTAAGAGCAGAGCTCGAGTCCAGTGCTTTCCCCTCTGGTGTGGATTGATTTGAATAGTCGCGCCACAACGGGAGTGGGACTATTCAAATGCGAGTGCATGTGAATACTGTACGGCACCCACACTCAGTCAGCACGAATTTACCGTCTGTTTACTCCCTAACTTCGATGAATATAGCATGGCAGCACCTAAGGCCGCTGTACCTGGGTACCGTCTAGCCTCGTCATAGTTAACAGCGGCTTTACCTTTAGTCATCTTTAGGTGTTCTCCAAAGGTTCCCCCACTTGATCTTGCGCTCTCTAGATTCTTCATTCGTCGCTCAAACAGGGTTGTTTCCCTCTCACTGACCACTAGATTACGTGCTCATCATTTTGGCATCATTATGTGACTTCGATAGATAGCTGTCAGTCAATCGGTTAGTTTGCGGACGTAGAATAGAGGGCGTCTCTTGGTTGAGGCAACAGCCGCACACCACTCCACTGATCATATTGGTTTGAATATCGAGTGGACCGAATGACATGAAAGAGCACGTGTGGATTGCCCATGCCCCAAGACAGTTACTATCGCTTTTCAGAGAACGAAGCTGTCTCTCAGCTGGCCTACCGGACAGATCCCGCCAATCTTAGCATGGTTTCTGGGGAAAGTCTGCTCTTCTTATGCCACTATGTGTGCAGCCAACGTTACCGCACTAATTGCTCCAGTGAACTAACGCCCGGACGTTGCCCACGATTCTCTTCGTCCAGTGGGCGCTCCTGCAGATGAATTCCGAGTATAGTTATCACGCACTAATGTTACAGTGCACTGAAAACACATTTGTCGTGTTTCTCAGGCCTAAACCGAGAAAAGTCGGATAGAATTTTGGTGGATCTGGAATTTGATCTACAGGTACCACCGTGGCGTGTGGTAAGACTGTCTCGGAAGCAGACGAATTTCGAATCGTTGACATATTTATGTGACCTGCTCTTTCCTAGTGTTTGATTGCTACCATATTTGCTCAGGTACGCACCTTTGTATTGTCATTTTTGATCGTCTGATACGTTAATCCAGTCTGTTTTCTCCAGTGTCTTAATTCTCGCTTACAATTTTGTGTTTCTATGATATCCATCAATTTATTCGCCAGGTGACCCGCAAAAAGTACAGCGCGCCCTCTGTCTGGATGGCCTTCGAAGTATCTTTACTCATCTTGCACAAAGTCGGATGATGTTGGTTGCATGGGACGCAAAATGGTGGTTCCGTGTAGCCAGAGACCTTCTGGGTTTCGGGCATTTGTCTGTATTTGATCCAGCAACCGCCGGCTGGCTTCGTGATCCCGACCAGGGTCGTCCTTTGTTGTCTTCGGAAGTGCTCAGGTTGAATCCCAATATGCAAGAACTTATAGAGCAACTGAGACTGGCAGGCTTCAACACAGGTTTGTTCCATATTAGTTTCTCCTTGATACAGGATTTTTAATTCGTTAATAAATTTATAATGACGCCTATTCTTGTTTGCGAAGATTGGCTGTGTGCATTAGTTCTGTGACCACCCTAGAACGACGCTCTGGCTACTTCCCGCGTTTAAGTAGTCAGAATCTAATGCTCTGCAGAGCTCTATACTAGGTCGGTGAAATACGGTCAAAAAGGTGTGATCTGGTCCTTTCCATCGAGTACAGCCTGGAAACTATTCTTAATTGCTCACTCTCTTGTCTTTCCTTCATACACATCGGTGACAAACCAAGAGCCTCCAACACAATTCGCAGACTGGTCTAATCTGGTCCCGGCGGATTCCAAAGAGCCTTCCAGCATATGCCCTCCAAATCGAATGGTTGTTCTGAATGGGCCGTTTGGTTTGTCTCAACACATTAGCATAGCAGCCACTCACTGCTATCTGCTTGCTCAGTGGACTGATCCTGACTTGTTCTGCATGACTGAAGTACCCGAGATTCTTTTGCAGTTGGAGCTCCCATGTCAAGCTCTGTTAGCGCGCGTCGAATCCACCGGTTTCGGTAAGTTTGTTCCCCTATTATTATTTTTCCATACATTATCACTTTGGTGCCTGGACATTTGGTCGCAGTGTTGGTGTATTTTTCGGCCCTTTGCTTCAACTATTGTGATAAATCCAGCCCTGATTTTGGATAATATGAATATGATGACATTATTCTAAATTTATTCAATCTGGTTACTAAGCTAGCTTGGATTCGTTAAAAGCATCCGAGTGGGTTAAAGTACATCACGGCGATCCATAAGTGGAACATAAGAGCTGTGTTAAGCCGCTTACTTCCCTAACAGCGTTCCTCGTGTATTGCCTGCTTTTTAGGTTGTCACGCCTTATTCTTAGCCTCACTACCCACACGAAGCTATCCCAGTTACTGCGCTCTTTACGTGTCATGGACCAACCTGGTTATGTATAATAGAAAATTCACTAATGCTTTGGGACGTTTTGTGACAAATTACTTGGTGCTTGCAAACTAATTGTGCTCTTCAACTCCCCATGTTATTTCATTCAAACAGTACTTGATCTTGACCTACTGCAGAGCTGTCGGGATGATCTGCTACGACATGCGCAGCTACTGGAGCGGGTTGCTCATCGTCTAGCAGGAGAATCCTTTGACTTGGATTCCCCCAAGGAAATTTCGAAGGCAAGGTGGTTTGTCAGTCTGTGTTCCCGTCATTTTTAATTAGTAGGCAGGCGCTTTAAGGTTTCGACTCGTCTTTACTCCATCAGCCACCACAATGACTATTTCCCGAAGAATCCTCAGTGTATATTCATACAAACGATTCGCTCTCGTACCGGCTTGTTGACTTAAACATTCAACGCCTCCTCTAGTTAGCACTCACGCCGCAAAAGCGTGTTTAGATTGGCTTCTGAATGTAACAGTGGCAAACACATCAGGTGAACGCGCTAGTTTGTTCGGTAACTGTCAGAGGACTTTGTCAATGGTGAGACCACAGGTGTCCTGAAAAGCTGCCTAATCGAATTCGTGACTACTGGTGGATCAGTGGGATTATTGCTGAGTTAGTTCTGTCACCTCGTTCGCGGATCAACACCATCAAGATACTATTAGGACTAAAAATGGTACCCTAATTGGAGTCCAGACTGATATGCCAGTTTCGGAGTCTGACACCACCTTATCCTGCCCAGTTACTTCATTTAGCCATGAAGTAGGATGGCCTCGAAAGTCAGTTTCTCGGTTCATTTGTTTTTGCTACAACCCGATCCGAATATCGTCGTCGCTCTACTTACCTTTGGAGGCTTCCACTTATTTGTAAGTGGTATGACCGGATTGTGCAGATAATTCTCAAGGGCCAGTGCGACTGACTTGTACAACAACACTCCAATTGCTTTTTTCAGCTGAAAGCGTAAAGTATGTCACAACTTCAGGACATTGACTTAGTAATAAGGGATTCTTATTAGAGCTTTAATGAGAAAGCCGGAGAAAACGTTGTTTGTTCCTGGGTAGGCCGGCTTTCGTCATCATTTTGTGTGCACCCTTTTGAACTCTATGATATAACCAGCACTACTTCATGAATGTCACCAGTTCGTGAATTCCTTTAGTGAAACGTCATTCGTGTGATGCTCTTTTATTCAACGGTGCCGTTCTATCCACTTTTCCATTTTTAACCTTTGATTCACTGGTCCTTTTATGTCTGTCGTTGCATCAGCACATGAGCCGAAATAAGTTCGTACACGGCTTGTGGCTGAGAGACTAAACTTCAGTCTGATTCATAATCAACTCGATGTGAACCGTTAGCCGTTGGTCGTTTGTCGTACCACTCGCAGCACTTCCTTTGAAAGGTGTTCAGTGGTAGTGGATCGTTCCATCGATTACTGATGGTTGACATGAGGCAGAAGGAAGAGCCTAAGCTCCGGGATCTCAGTTCAGTCTTTCACCACATAAATCGCGCACCGAAGCGCATGATTCCAGCTGCTACAGTTTCGTTCATCGAGAATAAGGGGACTAACGAAATGAGCGCCACTCGTGTAAAATGATGGCCCAGTTAGTACATTGGCGTTGAATTATTTCTTTTGTCCGGTATGACTGCGATTGGGTTCCCGTCTGAAACAGTTTATTTTATTGTGAATGGAGGTATTTGGTTTGCTTCTTTAGTATAGTTTGAGGCCACCCCGCAACCACCTCGAACCAATCAGTGAAATTCTGAGAAAGGTGCGTTTAGCCTAGTCACTCAGCTGCTCTTTGAAAACTATATAAAACTAAGCATGTATGGAAGAATGGCCCACCCAACCACTCGCTGATGATGTCACCTCGATTGTTTGCATGCTCGGTGGAGAGATGAGCAACCGTCTAATCATCCCCCAATGTACGCACCCGAGCTAAAATTATTCCTATACATTTCCAGTTGAGGACTGCTGTACTATATAACAGAATTCGTAACAGTCTCATTTTTCTGCTGTTCATCTGTATGGATCCCAGTCTGTTATGAATAGATGAATGGTCTTAGTCACAAGCGCCCTTTTGGCTCAGTAGTTAGAGCGCGAATTTCGACGCTCTGGCTACTTCCCGCGTTTAAGTAGTCAGAATCTAATGCTCTGCAGAGCTCTATACTAGGTCGGTGAAATACGGTCAAAAAGGTGTGATCTGGTCCTTTCCATCGAGTACAGCCTGGAAACTATTCTTAATTGCTCACTCTCTTGTCTTTCCTTCATACACATCGGTGACAAACCAAGAGCCTCCAACACAATTCGCAGACTGGTCTAATCTGGTCCCGGCGGATTCCAAAGAGCCTTCCAGCATATGCCCTCCAAATCGAATGGTTGTTCTGAATGGGCCGTTTGGTTTGTCTCAACACATTAGCATAGCAGCCACTCACTGCTATCTGCTTGCTCAGTGGACTGATCCTGACTTGTTCTGCATGACTGAAGTACCCGAGATTCTTTTGCAGTTGGAGCTCCCATGTCAAGCTCTGTTAGCGCGCGTCGAATCCACCGGTTTCGGTAAGTTTGTTCCCCTATTATTATTTTTCCATACATTATCACTTTGGTGCCTGGACATTTGGTCGCAGTGTTGGTGTATTTTTCGGCCCTTTGCTTCAACTATTGTGATAAATCCAGCCCTGATTTTGGATAATATGAATATGATGACATTATTCTAAATTTATTCAATCTGGTTACTAAGCTAGCTTGGATTCGTTAAAAGCATCCGAGTGGGTTAAAGTACATCACGGCGATCCATAAGTGGAACATAAGAGCTGTGTTAAGCCGCTTACTTCCCTAACAGCGTTCCTCGTGTATTGCCTGCTTTTTAGGTTGTCACGCCTTATTCTTAGCCTCACTACCCACACGAAGCTATCCCAGTTACTGCGCTCTTTACGTGTCATGGACCAACCTGGTTATGTATAATAGAAAATTCACTAATGCTTTGGGACGTTTTGTGACAAATTACTTGGTGCTTGCAAACTAATTGTGCTCTTCAACTCCCCATGTTATTTCATTCAAACAGTACTTGATCTTGACCTACTGCAGAGCTGTCGGGATGATCTGCTACGACATGCGCAGCTACTGGAGCGGGTTGCTCATCGTCTAGCAGGAGAATCCTTTGACTTGGATTCCCCCAAGGAAATTTCGAAGGCAAGGTGGTTTGTCAGTCTGTGTTCCCGTCATTTTTAATTAGTAGGCAGGCGCTTTAAGGTTTCGACTCGTCTTTACTCCATCAGCCACCACAATGACTATTTCCCGAAGAATCCTCAGTGTATATTCATACAAACGATTCGCTCTCGTACCGGCTTGTTGACTTAAACATTCAACGCCTCCTCTAGTTAGCACTCACGCCGCAAAAGCGTGTTTAGATTGGCTTCTGAATGTAACAGTGGCAAACACATCAGGTGAACGCGCTAGTTTGTTCGGTAACTGTCAGAGGACTTTGTCAATGGTGAGACCACAGGTGTCCTGAAAAGCTGCCTAATCGAATTCGTGACTACTGGTGGATCAGTGGGATTATTGCTGAGTTAGTTCTGTCACCTCGTTCGCGGATCAACACCATCAAGATACTATTAGGACTAAAAATGGTACCCTAATTGGAGTCCAGACTGATATGCCAGTTTCGGAGTCTGACACCACCTTATCCTGCCCAGTTACTTCATTTAGCCATGAAGTAGGATGGCCTCGAAAGTCAGTTTCTCGGTTCATTTGTTTTTGCTACAACTCGATCCGAATATCGTCGTCGCTCTACTTACCTTTGGAGGCTTCCACTTATTTGTAAGTGGTATGACCGGATTGTGCAGATAATTCTCAAGGGCCAGTGCGACTGACTTGTACAACAACACTCCAATTGCTTTTTTCAGCTGAAAGCGTAAAGTATGTCACAACTTCAGGACATTGACTTAGTAATAAGGGATTCTTATTAGAGCTTTAATGAGAAAGCCGGAGAAAACGTTGTTTGTTCCTGGGTAGGCCGGCTTTCGTCATCATTTTGTGTGCACCCTTTTGAACTCTATGATATAACCAGCACTACTTCATGAATGTCACCAGTTCGTGAATTCCTTTAGTGAAACGTCATTCGTGTGATGCTCTTTTATTCAACGGTGCCGTTCTATCCACTTTTCCATTTTTAACCTTTGATTCACTGGTCCTTTTATGTCTGTCGTTGCATCAGCACATGAGCCGAAATAAGTTCGTACACGGCTTGTGGCTGAGAGACTAAACTTCAGTCTGATTCATAATCAACTCGATGTGAACCGTTAGCCGTTGGTCGTTTGTCGTACCACTCGCAGCACTTCCTTTGAAAGGTGTTCAGTGGTAGTGGATCGTTCCATCGATTACTGATGGTTGACATGAGGCAGAAGGAAGAGCCTAAGCTCCGGGATCTCAGTTCAGTCTTTCACCACATAAATCGCGCACCGAAGCGCATGATTCCAGCTGCTACAGTTTCGTTCATCGAGAATAGGGGGACTAACGAAATGAGCGCCACTCGTGTAAAATGATGGCCCAGTTAGTACATTGGCGTTGAATTATTTCTTTTGTCCGGTATGACTGCGATTGGGTTCCCGTCTGAAACAGTTTATTTTATTGTGAATGGAGGTATTTGGTTTGCTTCTTTAGTATAGTTTGAGGCCACCCCGCAACCACCTCGAACCAATCAGTGAAATTCTGAGAAAGGTGCGTTTAGCCTAGTCACTCAGCTGCTCTTTGAAAACTATATAAAACTAAGCATGTATGGAAGAATGGCCCACCCAACCACTCGCTGATGATGTCACCTCGATTGTTTGCATGCTCGGTGGAGAGATGAGCAACCGTCTAATCATCCCCCAATGTACGCACCCGAGCTAAAATTATTCCTATACATTTCCAGTTGAGGACTGCTTTACTATATAACAGAATTCGTAACAGTCTCATTTTTCTGCTGTTCATCTGTATGGATCCCAGTCTGTTATGAATAGATGAAGGTCTTAGTCAGACACCGAAAGGGTGCTACATTTGAACGATATATATACAAGCGCGGTGTGTGCTAGGAATGTTTCTATGTGATGGGTATGGTATCGATTAAGAACAAGTGAGGTGGGTTTGTTTATCGCCTGTCTTTACGATGACTGACTCCGTCACCTAAGCAGTCAAGACATGTGACTCGTTCGTCTGAAGTGACTCCTAGGTGGTTGGGTCATTCGTCCAGACCATTCATCATTCTCCACTGGACATTTGCTCATCCTTTTTCACATTCCTTATTTGCAACCGTTGATTTTATTATTATGAATACCTCCTCCGGTATCCTTAATTCGTAATTATGAAAGATAACTTGGCTGTTCAACATTCATAGCATGCATCTGCTTGTTCTGGTCAATTTCCTGCGACCTAGTCATCGGGGGTGATGCAGTAGGACATGACTATTCGCGTATCTATCCCGTCACAACTTTATTCCTATTTGTTAACTTTCTCACTACGCCCATCCTTACCGATCATTTACTTGTCTCCCTTGTTCGATTAGGTTTTGTTTGCGCGGCTCCGTCTCCCCCACCTTACTGACCCCACTGATCATGTTGCTGCAAAAAAGCGCAGTCGTGTAGCTCTGCTGACCGGTGGACGCTCTCAGTCCCGCAGCCCCATCTATCCCCGCGTGACAAATTCGCTTCTTACTCGCTTGTCTGGTCTGCATCCATTGCCTTCAGTTATTATTCAGTGGCGACATATCTCGTGCCTGCTGACGAAAACGTTCGGTGGACTCATGTCTGCTTGTGAGATTCACGCCGATCGATTTCTCGTTGATCAGGTAGTGCTAAGTTCGCGGTTGTCTACCTGTTTTCTTTTATGTTGATAGCTCCCCTTCGTGATTATTCCCCCCCCCCCTCATGTCTGCTTGTGAGATTCACGCCGATCGATTTCTCGTTGATCAGGTAGTGCTAAGTTCGCGGTTGTCTACCTGTTTTCTTTTATGTTGATAGCTCCCCTTCGTGATTATTGCCCCCCCCCACAACGCTGTTCAACATAAATACTGGACGATGGTCAGGTAGAAAATGAAATGCTTGTACAACACTTTGACTACACTTTGAAATTGCTATGGCAAATTTATTGGCTCATTTCTGAAATCAAACCATCGTCTGAAGTAGATTTTCCTGTCCTTTTTGACCTGTCATAAAGACGGTGGCGTTTTTCCAGTAGTTTATCTGGAGAAGCCTTCTAATTAGCGAGGACAAATAAGTCAAGAATAGAGGAAAACCAAGTAAACTACACAACCAGAAGTGAATTAGAGTCTGTTTTCTTTTGAGCGTATAGCCGTCTGATCTTTTTGGTTTTATTGCTTAAAGATCTGCAACCGCGGTATGTAGTTACTTAGCTTGTTGGTCAACGAAAATGTGATTGTCAGTTGCTGCATAAGTGTTCTGGGTTGCGGGACAGAGTTGTCGTAGTGTACAGAGAGACGCGGAAGGGACCTTATTTACCCGGAAACAATCAATTTTCACTTATTTTTAGTTCATCTTTCTGGAAAGACTGCGACCACTGACTAAATGGTCTGGTTGGTGGCGGATTACTAAAAACCTTGAAAACTCGCTGAGCATGTTCAGAAATCTGCCCGTGACCCACACTTCTAAGCCACCAACCGCCTGCTTCACTTGCCCCCCCTCCTTAATTATCACAAGCGACACTGATGGCGTGAGGCATATCTGCCAGTGCCACTGTCCATTAATGAGTTGAGTCCCGGATCCCTTATACAGGGAGGCGGTAGTTGTCGACCCAACTGAGTTGTTTAATGCTTCCACACTTCGTTACAACTTCGTAGGCTGTCCAACGCTCGGTCGCTTCCACTCAGCACGGGGCTAGGCGAATAAAGCTGTGCGAAAAAGACGTTTCTCTGGCGTATGGAGTGCATGTCCTATAAGCCGTGACTAATTCAGCTATTGCTGAAAAGTTTCTTTTTCCTAAGCCTATCTAGCGAATGTCAGCGTTGCTAATCAGATGTGTCCATCAGACCCGTCCAAGACCAAGGAGATCCACTGCTGATGAGTTATGTCTAGAGCTTCTCATCTTCGCTTCAACTGAATAATTACACCACGATATGAAGAAGAGCGTTTGAACGAGCGCGTTTTGAACGGAAATCTCCCAAATCTCGCTACCACCTTTAGCGAAGAGGAAAGAGCCGAGGCTTTTCATTAGGCTACTTAATTGTGGCAGGCAGTTGACAGCCAGTTGCTTCGAAAGCCAACTCTAAAACGCAATGAATTCTCAGTTTTCCAGCATATTCAGTTACATGATGGACACATTTTTATTTGGTGTCGGGTTAGGGAAATGTGGTATGCGAGCATCCACATCCTGATACATCGCAAGCTTCACTGGATACACATGCACAAATTCGTAGCGACTAACTTGAAGGTCCCGGGTTAGAATCCCCTCTAGAATCGTATGCTGTTCAGCGCTGGTCATTCCCAGTCAAGATGAAGCAGGTGAACAGTGTTACTCTGCTTTTCAGCATAGATTTACTTCACTCCCAAGACGAGATATTAACTAAAGATGACTGAATCAGTATTTCATAAGAGTAATATGAAAACTATAGAGATGGGTGCAAGGGAATTCCATCAGCCTACAGAACTACAGTAGCGAAACCTCAAATGGAACTTTGAATGCTGGCCAAAAATAGTTTATTTTTAGTCGGAGTGGGCTTGAATGAATGTGAGATAGTTCATAAATCTTTTTGATTTGTGTCATAGAGCTTTACAAGCTAACGCAATCAACAAGTTTTTAAGTGCATATGCGGCCTATGGACTAACTTAACTGTTCACGATTGGCATGGAAGCATAGCGTTCGGATTTTATCCTGAAGATTTCAGGTTAGTATTTTGCCATCGATTGTTCCTAACAGGCAAGGGACAGCTACCCTTCATTTTTAGACTCTTCAACACAGGTTGATCCAAATTTTATGCGTAAAAGCAACTATTGAGATCTGCTTACAAAGGGAGCTCTTATCTGAAAATTGAGGAAACTGAAGTATGTGATTTCCAATTGGTAGCTTAATACCCGACATAAACCCTCTACTAAGCACGCGCAAATATGCGTTCAAAATAGCACAACAGGGCAGAATTGGATAGGTGGTGATTAATCAGCCTATGATCCAGGACTTGCGAAATGCCTTTCGATACATCCTTTTGGGACATGCAAGTTGCAGAAATAGCTGGGGGCGGAATGGAACCAGGCTCTCGTTGAACGGTTAGAAGTTTGGATCCTCCATGTCGCACGTTACCTTTTATTTTTTACACGGTTGCCGGTGTATTCCTTATCTCATATCCAGTGTGTCATCATCTCATATGGTTATACGGTGCGATAAACAGGAAGTCATTCCAGAAGTGAGAAGCAAGCCCCAGTGCTGTGGCCTTTCATCGTGTTTGCGGTCAACTTGACTACTAACTTTGGTCACATGGTTACGGACTAAAGTTGTTGCATTTTGAAAATCTGCTGGGAATGGAAATGTAGACTCCTAAGTCCTTCAAATTGAGGCAAACGGCAAGGCTGTGAGTCAGGGAAAGTCCACTTTAATGACCGGTCGAGGAACATTAGCGACAAGTTGATCCCGAGGTAGGCTGGTTGGCAGTGCTTTCGGTCTACATCAGTCCTAGGTTTCCGAATTTGGATACCCAGTGGAATTTATTCATTTCTACCTAGCATATGTACAGTAGGGAATAAGTAGACCAACTCTTGAGCAGAACACAACTGTTCATATAGTTTATTCCTGTGAGTGCTTAAAACTTGGCTGGATGCAATTTGCTAAATGAAGAAGTTAATCAGCAGGGTTCTCCCACCAGTCGCATTGAAGCTATTTTCACATGACAACAGGCAATGCAATCCTTAAACTCGATTTTGAGGTAGACTGGGTGAAAGAAAGATGAAATTGAAACCATTAGGGACTGAACTTTATAAGTGCAAACTCCATCTTCGGACGGATATAGTGGAACAATAAGAACTATGGTACCGAATGTTACAGAATCCAGAAATTTGTCTCATCGTTGATAGCAACATCGTTGGTGGAAACCGTAGTTCAACACACTCGCACACCTGGATCGGATCGACGCAACAGACTAGATCACGTGTTTCGAAGCAAGATTTCAGAGTCACAGAAGAAAGTTTTCATATTACTGTTCGTGCATTCAAGCCCAGGGCTGGAGTGACGAACTAGGCAACAAAATTTTATGATAGCCACCGTTACCTCACCCGCATGACGTGTGAATGGTATTCCGACTCTCTAGCCTTGTTGCACTGATCTGTTCATTCAGTCGGTATCAGTCCAGCCAACTGATTCAACTCATGTTGCTATAGCATCACCACTTCTGTTTCTACCCATCGCTCGAGAGTCAAAAGTTCATCTCTAACTGACGTTGAGCTTTAATTCAATGTATGTTTACACTGGACTTCATTTGTGTACATTACGATGGATGTTGTGAACCAGGACCGTCATGTTTGACACAAAACCGCGGTAGATACTTGATGCTCCTTGGTTTCCTTGCTGCTGCGTCCAGGTTTCCGGTTACCGGAACTCGTGGTCTAATCTAAACACTGCGGTGTGTTACCTTTATGTCAAAGATCTGGATGATTTCGTGGTTGCATTGCACTGAATTCGTGTTCCACCACGCTTCGTTTGATGACGCTCCACCCGTTACGTGATAGTAGGTGAGACTATTGGGTGGACCAATGGATTGTCTGTCAAATTCCATAAATGTTACATTCAACATTTCATATATCTGATATACCGTACAGCCATCTTTTCACATTTCACGAAATGCAATGAAGGACTATTGGCCGTTAAAAAAGCAGACCGATATAGCTTCCGTCTTTTTCGCCCACCAGAAAACTACCACACCTGGGCGTATATCTCCCACTTATGATGTCTACACGGCCACTGGACGGATTGTATCCTGTTTCCCGAACATCCAAGCTGTACCGAAAGACATCGTTATCGATTATACTCAGATTCACACCCGTAAACCTCCATCCGTGGGTACCTTTTGTCCAGCAGCCAACTCTGTCGCCGTTACTGCTGAGGATTCCACCAAAAATTGTGAGTGGCCAGATCTCATCGCAAAAAACCTTTCGGAACTTCCGAACACTCGCTTGGTAAGTTATCGGTTGATTGTATACTTCGTATCGGGGTATTGCTCCTCCCAGACAACTTCCCCCAACTCATCAGCATACTACTCGACGGAATTAAAGTAAGCATTAAGATGTAAATTTATCCCAGCAACATACTGCTCAGTGAATTAGTGAATTTCGAGCCGTCAATTTCAAAAAGCAAAACTTTGCAGTGCTCAAATAATTAAACAACCAACTGCACCTGAAATTCAGCATGACATAGCTGTCCGACCGCATTCTATCGTCAGCGATCAGATGAGACATGAGCGTTTTTATCTTGAGGTGATCATCCGATTGAGAGTATCGTTTGGTCATATAGACACTGTTTAATTGAATTCAAAGTTTGACCAACGAAAAGTAGGGGGATATGGCTGATGCCGCATCGTCGTTTGTGATTTTTGGCCATTGTTTGCTTGTTTCGTTCGGTTGATGTGTATCCGTAAGGCGAGTAGAGATCCAGACGGTAGCACTTGGCCTTTGCAAGGTTCATCAGTGCAGTACACTTCCTGTCAGTGTGATTGGTGAATAGCTCGCTCACAGACCCAGCCTCTCTTTTCTTTTCATGCTATCACATTCGACCACACCGGCGCCTATACAGATGGTTCGCTGTCGTAGCCTTAAAACTCGAAAAAATCCTCATGATGGAATGAGCGGATCGACAAACGGAATGGCTTATTGTCAACGAAGCACAACTGTCCCAGTTAGCTTGAACCTCGAGTTTCCTTAGCAGGTTGTCACGAATTCTCCTTTCTAATTAGCAGCAGCACTCACATGTTATCAAACTAGCTAAACTACCGCGAACAAACCGGTTCATGGACAACATGATCGACGACATTCAATTCACCTTGAGAGTTAAATGATGACAAGGTGATATTCTTAGACACATTCATCATTTTGCCAAAGACAGCTGAACCCCCCCTCACCCCAATAGTAAACTCTCCTTGTAGGTATATCAGTTAGACTGTTGACTCCGTATGTGCGTCATCGGGCGCTGACATCCTCAGGCAGCTCGAAACCAATCTTTAAGCTTCGACGACCAGTCTATGTGGCTGCCTTTAATGTTCGAACTCTGAAGCAAACAGGACAACAAGCTGATCTTGCATTCACACTGGACTCCCTTGGCATTTATGTCTGCCGTCTCTCAGAAACAGGAATTCAAGATGCAAGCACAGTGATTGAGATAACCGCCCCATCAGTCTCCACTCGCTTCCGGTTACGCACCTCTGGTGATCCAGAGGCTGCTGCAGCGGGATGTGCAGGGTTTGGTATCGTCCTAAGTTACTGGGCGGAAGTGTCCTTCCTTGACAGGATACCTACTGATAGTCACCTCTGCGCGATCCGTCTGGCAACGTCTGTGAAAGAGTCTCACAAGCGGGAAGTTGATAGATGTCTGTTTATCGAGTCTGCCTACGCGCCAACCGACTGTAGCTTCGACGCCGTCAAAGACAGGCTTTATAAAGCCCTGAATGCCCTCCCGCGACGAGCTAAAAGCTCAGACATCGTGGTGGTTGCCGGAAATTTAAGTGCACAAGTGGGCAGGGTTAGTGTATCTGAGACGATCAGGAGGTCGATATGGATTGGACTCGGTGCGTACGGATAATGGGGAACGATTGCTTAAGCTACGTGCTGATCGCAAACTGTTTTTATGCAGTATAAACTTCAGAAATCGTCTGGCCACGTGGTGCCCTCCAGCGGCATACCGGCCAAAAACTCATTTTGGCCACAGTGCCATCAGTTACCGATGGCGTGGATTAATAACTGACTTCTGGTCGCTTTGGAACACATTTGTGGATTCCGACCACGCGCTCGTCCGGAATCACTTCTCCCTACGTTTTCGGCGGCCGCGTAAGGTTCGGACAAATAGCTTGGCAACTGAAAGACGGGCAGATCCGGATGTTAGGCGAACTTATCTAGTGTCTCTTTCAAATGCTCTACCATTAAATGTGAACTCATACTGGGGCGATATTGTCACCTTGCATAGTGCTTGGAATTTCGCCTGTGGTACGGCACCACCAGGCGCACCCATACACTGGATATCAGACCGAACGGTGGCACTGCTTAAATCTCGAAGAAATACCCCAGCCGGTCCCGAACATAACCCGATGCGAAGAGTTATCAGACGACAAGGGAAGGTGAGCTTGCGATCCGACGGACCAAAGAAATGGAAGAGGCCCAGAAAGCCGGTAATACCCGGAGATTATTTCAGTTGATCCGTGCGACCGGTCCCCGGAAACCACCCGTGAGTGAAACCATAAAACATCAGAATGGAACGACCATCTCGAACAAAGAAGAATGCCTCGACCGGTGGGCTGAATACTTCGAACAACAACTTTCGTGGCCACAAGCCGACACTCATCTAGGGCCCAAACGTGAAGTAGAACCCTGGACGGTGAACGTGGAACCACCTACGGCCTCAGAGGTTTATGACTGCATATGTTCTCTCAAGCGCCACCGAGCTCCCGGTCCGGATGACCTTCTACCCGCACTGTTCAAAGACGGGGGTGAAGTCCTCAGTCAGCGCTTGTCCGATCTGTTTGCTTGCATTTGGAAAGAGGAGTCTGTCCCAGACACTTGGGGAGAATCGATGATAGTGCCCGTTTTCAAAAAAGGGGCGCGTAGTTTGGTAACCACAGGGGTTCAGCTTGACCCCGATTGTAACGAGACTGTTGGCATCAGTTGTGCTTCCTCGCCTCACAGTGGCTCGCGAGATACTGACTCGAGAGCAGAAAGCGGGATTCCGGCCTGGTAGGGGTTGCGTTGACCAAATCTTCACACTGCATCAGGTGCTAGAACAACGCCATACGTATAAGCGACCCACGATTCTAGTATTCCTGGATTTCCGAGGCGCATTTGACTTGGTTCAGCTTGACACGCTTGCCAACCAATGCCCGCCCCGGAAGTTTTTAAACATCATACGTTCTTTGTATTCTCAGACTTCCGGACATGTGAGTATACGGCGGGCTCTCCAAATCCTTCCATAAACAAAGTGGTGTCCGTCAGGGATGCCCACTCTCTCCATTCCTGTTTGACTTTGTGATCGATGAAATCGCGAGGGGAACACTGGAGGGTCTCTGAAATTCCGGCGTTCAAATAGCCTGTGACAAAAACCTTATCATCATCATCATCATCATCATCGACAGCATGACAGTGTTCAACACCGATGCTTCACTGCCGTACAACCATGACTTATTTGAAAGCCTTATTGTAAAGAAAAGAATAAAGGTGGACGGGGAAGGGAAGAAACTGACAACAAGAACGCCACTGACATCGGTTGGCAGCCATATCTTGTAGTGTCTCCAACCAGGCACAGTGATGATCACGCGGTCCCCATCCTGGAAGGCGAGTAGCACCGACAAAAACCTCGCCGATCTGGAATATGCAGACGACATTGTTTCATGTTCGAAGAGGAAGAAAAGGCGCAAGTATTCTTGGATGAACTGACCAAAGTCATCCCGTCCTTTGGTGTGCACTTTGCACCCACAAAATGTAAGGTCATGCTTGTGGACGTGCAGTCACTGGACACACCACTTACAATCTAGGGAGAGGTACTGGAAGTTATGGATCGTTTTACGTATCTTGGAAGTTGTATTAGTTCTGATTGTAGTGTGACAGATGAGGTGAATGCACGAATCTGCAAGGCTCGGGTCGCGTTTGCTAATTTGAGACACCTATGGCGTCAAAGCGATGTATCCGTGGATCTCAGGGTACCTGTGTATTAGGCTACATTGGGTGTTGTTTTGTTTTATTACTGTAAGGCTTGGCCTGTTCGAGCAGTTGAACTGAGACGTCGTCAGGACCCCAACAGAACCATAGCTTATGTGGGTTGCTGTCGATGGATCCGTAATGAGGCGATTGGAAAGCGAGTTTTCGATTGTACAACGGGGACTTTCATTGAGGAATGTGTACAGCCACAGAAGCTGCGTTCCTTAGGCTATTATGTTGCGTATGCCAAACCATCGTTTGCCAAATTGAGTGAACCTCTCATTGATGAGATCTGGAGGGGAGGCTCCGTTTTGAAAGCATCAACATGGATATATGCGTGCAACTGGGCGATATCTGTCTGATGTTGCTGTCTTTGTTGATGATAAATCGACGTTATGCTGGTAGCCACACGAATTTGATGTCCAAGCTGATGTTCAAAGTGGGAAACGAGACGATCAATACACGAGTGACGGATTCAGCAGAATTGATTGAAATTTTCCCCCATGTTTTGTGCCATTCTACCACTTTAATACGCAAGAATAACACTTACAAGGTCGATTCACACCTGGACCTGCATAGCTGAAAAGGAACAATGGCGATTTTCATCAAATCGTTGAAATATTCGCTTTTATTAGACATTGTTTCGCTAAAGCTTGGATGTCGGTGTATAGGCGTAACATGCTACTCATAAGGTTGTTGAACACTCTTCGACAACCCATGACCGGTTTTGCCCCTCTTCGTGCTCATCAGGTAGAGGCAGTCCTCGAGTTTCCGTTAATCTCATTTTCCAATTGAACCGGCGTTGTACGAAATTCGACACACTAATTTGTTTTCCACAGGAGATCCATCTGAAACCCAGCTGAATCTTTTGTTTACGATACTCTTTTTCGTGACGGAAAATAAGGAGCCGAGCCCATCTGATAGCCTCAAGATCGGCGAAAAAATCGTTCAGTTGTACAACCCTTTCCATGCCTAACTGCCATGCCACCCGAAGGAATCACGAGGGCTGGGATACTACTAGGTCGCTCAAGCCTAGACAGGGGAATTCGAGAGGCAGAGGTCCGGTTCAAACTTTCCGGTCAGTAAATTCACCTCCCAACCGCTGAGCCACTTCGACCCCAAAAGCATATCTACTTTTTAGAACATCGCAAACGAGGGATTCAACTTGGTTTCAGGTGGGTATCCCTGAAAACCAAATTGGTATGCATATGAGTATTTGTCGAATCGAACTATCCTATCGGTCTAGACACTGTAGTTTTAACGTAGAAACGTTCTCTAGTACTCCACTGCTCAACAGCTCGACATTATTCGAAAAGTGGCACACCATAGGCACGTCTTTATCCGATCATCACCTTCGAGTTTATTCGATACTGGCTCTTAGTTCATTGGAACTTCAACCACTAGCGAGATGGCATGTCTGGACGACTCAGTGTAACAATAGGCAATCCAGCTGACGATAAACCGGCGTGTTCCTCAGCGAGTGGGCCAGAAAACGACGAATTTTTCGGAAAGGGAATTGTCAGCGTGACGAATTGACATGGTATCTGCGGAGATCGTTGACCGCTTGCAAAAAAGATTCCGGACACACTGAGCTGACAAAAACACAGTTGTCAAAGCACCGAGTCCCAACCAACCACGATAGCACTGTGAAGTCATACTGACACAATTTAATACTGGTACGTACGCTCAGAGCGCATTCCATTTTCGTTTTCTTCCTCAGTACGCCCCCAACTCATGAGGTTATATCGTACGATGAGTTTGATGTTATGAGCCACACCAGCCCTCGATGAAGTTTTTGGCAAACTGTCTCACAATTGTTCGGCTTCGTCACTGCTTGCATGTATGTCTTCTGCCACTTTATCCTTGCAGGTTATTCGTCCGCGGCGCGCTTTCCAGGCCTGTTCTGGTGGAATCCTGGTATCCGCTGATTTCTGCCAATTGGAACTGCGTCTCCTCGCTCACTTTAGTCGGGATACAGACCTTCTGAAATTACTCTCGATCGATGGGTCGGTGGATGGTACGGATAGCTCCTTACCACCTCCACCGGAACAAGATGCTTTTCGTAAAGTAAGGGTCTCAGAACACTTCATTTGTTGGTCTTCTGTACACCTGGTTTTCTGGTTACTGAAACCCGAAGAAGGTGGTAATGTCTGTGGGTTCATGCGCGGAACAATCTAGTAAGATACTTGCCCGAAATGGACTTTTCTTGATCTTCATGTAGAAGGTAGTAGAAACTCTGCTTCCACTGTGTACTAAGACTATTCGCATCGTGATTGTTCAACTGAAAATAGTGCTGATGGTTCTAATTTTCACCCAAACAAATTTCTTGAGATTTGCTAGAGATTTTTATTTCTGAACTGGGTTTCAATCTCGGCTAAATGTCAAATAGACTGCCTGGTTTTCGTGCATTGTGTAAACTCCTCTTTCACTGTATTCCGGTTTCAGTTAGCTGCTCATTGGCTCCGATTATCATCCACCCATGAAGTAAGCAGCAACCAACGACAACAGGCGAAGCAAATATGCTATGCCCTCATCTACGGAATGGGTGTCCAAGGTTTGGCTTCTCAATTGAATGTCCCAGAAGCGACTGCCCAACGTCTAATGGATAGCTTTATGTACTCATACCCTGGTAAGTATGATGTTACCGCCATGATGCAGTCATTCCCTAAGAATTCAATCACTGATCTGTTTACCGGTGACTCATGAATGTTACGTGCGCGTGGTAAAGGTGGAGCTGATACGATCTCAAACTACCCTAGATCACCACCGGACACGACAGTTCATACCACACAGCTAAAAAACAGTACGGTCAAGCGGTTGACGATCTGTAGCTTTCCCACACTTCCTACATTGTTTCACTCGCTTGCAAACGCCAAAAACTATTCATCGCGAATTGGAGACTGCAAACAATCCCACCAAACTGCTGCTCTGTTTCATTTCGATAGAATATGCACTTTTCGGACTTATAACTGGGAAGATTCATTCTTAACCTCGTGTTGATACCTTTTTGTGAGAATGAATAAGGTCAGCCTGTCTAACCTGCACTGACTTGGAATAGCACAAAACTAAATTGACGTGACATCTCACCAGCCGAAGCCTGTTGATAGTGTTTTGTGTCACACGAGCGCATAAGACGTAGATTTTGTCGCTTAACTTCCATTTTGGTTTGTTTCTTTTCCAAATATGTTCCGAATACCTTTGAATTCATTCGATCTCACCTTTGGCCGTGTGCAGTCGTTAAGCGTTCACTGGAGCTTTTGTTTTCAAACCCGATGCAATCTCTGTTGCACGTGGAACTTCAAGACATTATCTATGCCTTATCCTTTTCATCCAACCTTAAAGGCATTCAGCGGTTCATATCAGATACCATCCAGTCAGCCCATCGTCTAGGTTATGTCAGCACTTTACGAGGTCGCTTGAGACTACTGCCGGCATTGGGCGATAAGGAATCGGGAAATTCACATGCTCAGCCACAACTAACTGTTCCTCTGCTGGTCCGCAATGGCCCTTTGCAAACCCAGCAATACTATTCTATCGCCAAAGTAAGTTGACTTCACTCTCTTATTGCTTTTATTGACCGAACTTGTTAACACACCTAGCTCAAACATTTTGTTGGCCTTCGTACGTCACAATATTTGTCACCCATACTTACTATTAGGCCAGCTTGATGATCCGTATGGCGTTCTCATAAGTAAACTATCCTCATATCCCAACCTACAGGCGGAGCGACAAGCAGTTAACACAGTCATACAGGGTAGTGCTGCTGAAATTGCGAAGGCCGCCATGCTGGAGGTAGACGAAGTCTTGATGTCCAACGATTGGCATGACAACTGCCGGCTGGTTCTTCATGAACACGATGAACTTGTTTACGAGGTAAGTAACTCTATTTAACCCCGTGTGTTGGTGTGACCGGCAAGTATCATCTGAAAGTGTCTACGTGCGTGGATGAAATTACTCAAGTCTAGGACCACTAGAAATCCAAACATCGTGCTGCCTGCGTGCACAAGCACAAAGTTCCCCTAGTGTTACAGTTGTGAAGATGGGCAAATCCGTACGCATGAGTTAGCAGATCTGTTGATGGTGCGATGATAGCTCCTCCGGCCAATTCCACATGTGTAGAGGAGGCGCCTCCCATGCAGCAGAGACAGGATTAGCAGTGGAATTTCGGTAGCTGGTAGTTGATCTGTTTCCGAACCTGGCAATGAGCTTGCAAACGTTCGTCGTCAGTCGAGGGGACATGGTCACCGTGTAGTCGGTGTCTAGTGGATCGCCGACGAAACGTGTGCCATCGAATTACAAAGCTCGGCGAACAGACCAACAACTATCTGTGATCAACTCTCAGGATAGACGGATTGATAAATAGCCGCACCCACACTCGTCTTGATTCTGTCTTCTGGTAAACGTATGTGGCATAGTTGTGACTATCGCAGTTCAGAAGCCCGTGTGGAATAACGAGCCGAGTTCAATAAACTCATTTCCTTGCCAAGAACGCTTCCTCTTGAGAAACATTACAAAATGTCGAGATATTTTTTTCTCTCTTTAGGTAAGCATAATAAAGATTCTATTGGTAAGCTGTCATTGCTTGCAGTTAGCAGAACTCATCTTTCAAGACACGTTAATGGGTAGACTTTACCTAATAACTTCGGATTTTCACTTTTCGTTCAAACTGCTTTTTACACTCTCTAACTGTCGGCCCCGACAGTTTCACAAATTCCGTTATCCATCAGTGTACCTACTGTCCTATCATACTTTCTGGTCTCCTGGACGAACCTTACTGCCTCATTTAGGTCCCGAAAACAAGTGCTCAGGACTATCCCACTCAGCCTTATGGTTACGAAGCACTTTGCCACTCGCAAAACACTCCCCGCCCGATTGTATCTCAGGTCATATTGATTACGTACACGCTATTCAATTAGACTTCACTTACGAGAGCCTCCACCCACTGGAATCATGTGTTCTCCCGCATATCCTGGTGTATTGTTGACCCTGGTTCAGTATGTGATCCGCTGTTATCACACCTCGTCCTAGATACCCCTTTTGTATTGCACTTTACCACTTGTGTCCATGATACCACTTTTATATATGCGCTGCGAGTTCATGCTGGAAATTCACCTCCCGGTGTGTATGATATTCTTGAATTAACTTGGGTAAGACGAGGGAGTGCGAAAGCGGAGGAAGAGAATAATTGGAAAGCAGGCATACGAGTGATGATTTCGTAGCCCTCAGGGAAAAGCAGACGGCCGTACTGTAGCTGAGGGAAGCGATCCAATTTACGTTCCCAAAGGACAGGAAAAATAGTTGCACACATGACGAACATACTTTGCGGGCCTGCGCCAAATGTTTGGATAACTTATTGATCTACCCGATCCCCAAGAACTGTACCTAAGGCATTCCAATGAACTACACCGAACAGTGCGTTTATCCATTCAGTATCGAAGTTGCTTGGGTTATTTCACGTCTGTCCTGAATGAGATGCTCCATTTAATATATGGGAGCCGCCGGAGAAACCAATATACCACCATCACTACAAGTTCTGACTCACATCTCCTCGTCACTACAGCAATAAAATTGAGAAAACTTTCCTGCTTCAGTGGGCTTTCATAACTCTTAGTTTCATTAACCTATGCAACCTTTTACAATACGTGCTCCTTTTTTAATAAGTGCTATGCTTCAGTTTATCATTCCCTTCATACATTCCTGCACCAAGAGAAAACAGCAGCCCGCGGGGCGACGATTTAAGCATTTTGGCAACCCAATGTACCATGATGGAGTACGCCGGTACACTGCCCAGGTTGGATAACATATAGAGTTCTGGTGTACCGTAATGGGCATTGGACCTGTTTGATCCTCAAAAAAGTGGACTACTCTGATGGTCCGACGCCGCCTCTCCGTCAGGCTTTCGAGCCAACAGCTTTGGTTAGCAGCTCTAATTTTCTTGTCCAAGTTTGGGCGCGCAGTCAGCCAACATACAACCATGAGGAACAGACAAAAATAATCGTTCCATGTCGGCTGTCGCACGGTGCCGTCAGACAGGTCGTCTTACTTATTACATACAACAGGGCAAAACAGCAAAATTATGCCGCTGCTGGTGTCCCTAAAACCCAGAAGCAATAGTTTTTTTTCCGCCAGCGTAATTCATGCTTAGCGTCGTAATAATTACCCCTTCGACTGATGATTGGCTCTGCTCATCGACAGGAGCAGTTTTCTGCGACTGTGCCACTTCCCACCGCAGTAGTCATTCGTATTTACGTTGTGTCAATGTCTGTGCAACCCATGCTGTTGTCGGGTCCCCCGCGGATCGCTTATTATTAGTGCACAAGCAGTCGTTAGGATTGGCGCTACCATGCAGACTTTACAGCAGTGAGGCTTGCTGGAAGCCAAATAAGTGTCAGTCTTGGTCTCAACAGTTAACTTCCTTTGAGAATCATCCTAATATAATGAACCTCCGTATTACCTTGTAGGTCGTACCAGCCTCCCTTGGACCTGTTCTGGGTTCACTGATTCGTCACACACTGGCTCGAACGAGCCAAACGCATGGGCTGTCTGTCCCGCTTCCAGTCAAGTTAACAGCCGGTCGTAATTGGTCAGAACTTGAGGAAGTCCTCTGGCCAAATTCCTGAGATTGCTCCGTATGTCTTTCACCCGAACTGCCTTTCCTGTTTATTCCTCTTATCACTATATGCAGTGTATATTATTGTAAGATGGTGCCTTACTTTACACGCACCAACGTATTAATCTTGTCGTTTTGGATCTTTTATTTTTTATTTTTCATGTAAAATGAAACACAAATGTATGATTTTTCATCTGAATATCAATTCTGTGGACGTCGTATGGAACGGCTTTTGCTCACGTGGCCTTCAGGATTATTCTGTCTCCTCGAAACTAGGTCGCGATTTATGCGATCAGACATCCGGTTTCGTGTCACTGGTATCACGTGATTCCCGTGACTACCTTCAGTGTCTGACTAGACGTTCGATAGATCGTATTAACTAACTATTGCGGCTTCTGCAGATAACGACAGGAAGACGACTGAAGATGAAGCGGATCTAAGTGTATTCCTTTTGCGTATTTATAGCAGCCTGTTGTCCAAGTGGACATCGTGGGATCAAACAAAAGTGGATAATTCACACTCTGAAGGTATGGCGGCACTCAAAGTCGGGTAAATATTCACTAACGGATCCGTTTGATATTCAGGAACCACCTTATGCGCAAACACAACCTATCAGCCGGGACTTTCGTGAGAGTTACACTGCCGGTGATCCCCGATAAGGCCAAAAAGTGCACACCAGTTTTCAGCACGGATCGGCTTAATTTACAGGATGAAATCTCCCTACATTCCTTACTCTGGGTTTGAGAAAAAGCGATTGTGACATGTAATGTACATTTACAGTTAAGAGAGTAAAATCTCGTTTGACGAGAAAAGTAACCACTCATAAAATGAAAAGAATCAAATATGTTTGACACAAGAGTTTTCTTAAAGTGATGATAAAAATCAATGTAACCCGCGCCCACCCGTTATCCAGTTAGCATGTCGTGTGAATCAGAGCAGCCACACGTTTACCTTGCTCCACTTTGGCGTTATATGTTGTAAGGGCACTCCGACTGTTCTCTACAATCAGCTCCACCCCAGGTAGCTTTTCGCGGACATAAGCCTGGGTGGACTCCGGTACTTGCAACACGTAAAGGACACCACGAGTGAGCACCACCGTATCTGGATTATATGCGATCAGTTCATCCACATCGGTCGGTTGGATCCCTCCCATATGACCAGTCCCCGTTTCAGCCCAATCCCAAGCACGGCTTCCCCCTGGCCATAATTTTGCATCTCGATACGTCACAGTCTCGTTGGAATTGATTTTTCCATTCTCTGTGGATTCCACTGTTATTGAGCCCCAAGACATGTTGATGATGCGTGGAGAAACCTGAGTCATCTTCCCCTACGTGTAAGCTGTGAGCTGAAAGAAAACATGAAGTCTTTCAGACCGGTAGAGTTTTATGGTACAGTTATGGGACGAACCGTTTCGTCGGTCTTATCATCGATCTCGCATCAGGAAAACTGCACTCGTGTAGGTAAAATTGACTGGCTTAGGGGCACGCACGCTACTGCACTCAGCTCAGTTAGGTTAAACTCACTTCAAGTAGTCTGTCACGAATTCAGAAATTGCGTATACATATCAAAACTGAACCGAAACAACGAGATCGGTTTATTTCGTATCAGTAAAATTACACATTACTAATTCGGATAAAGTTCAGTAGCCGGTGTGAGATCTTTCCCAGGATTCCCCTGATTTCCAACACAGGTTGTCGTACAGCGCCGAGGCGAAGACACTTCTCTATCGTGAAGGAAGACGGATCACTCATTCATTTTTCTCTCTAATACTAGCAGATGGCCTAGAATCGAATCCCACAGAATATGTTGCTCCACAGGAACACTGTCCAGGAGATAGGTTAGCAACGAAGATGATATGTAATCAGTCGGAGACAGACAGGTAACTAACCAGGTCCCACTCGCTTGAGCTAGACTCGTAAACGCAGGTAGTGTTTTTCCCCGCAACGGAGCTAAGGCTATAAAGGTCGCCGGATAGTCGCACGCCAATAGCTGATCAATTGTCATTAGTAAACCTCGATGGCTGCTGGTATCGAAGAAACAATCGGCAGCAAGGACCAGTTGAAAGGAATGCCGGAAGTGATCGGGAATCGACAGCTGTTCGGTGGACTGAAAATGAAGAGCATGTTGGAAATAAGGCTAGGTTAAATCGTAAGCAGTGTTGCACAGAATTGCCACTGCTTATCGAAAAAAAATTAGACGCCGTAGACTATTTATGTCATGTTCCGTGGCAGTTATCCGAATTCTAGTTTCGACGCCAGTCTCCCATTATTTTGTCATCATCTTGCGGATTTCCGAACATGTACTGTATCGCGCACATAAGACAACCTACCGAGCAAACGACCTACGATTACACTCTGAACAACCGACTGATCGTTTCCTGCGGTAAGTTTTTGGGTCCTACTTGGTTGTTGATCTATTCGCTGAGCTTGGCAAAGGTCATCACCAATCGGGGTGACATCGTCAGTGTGCGGTTCATTGGATAAACTTCCTTATTCTGCCCGTGCAGAAGACATTATCTAGATATTCCAGACATTATCTAGTCACTAGTGACTATTCGTCCCGGAAATAGCTTCCGCGTAATTAGGTTGGTCAGCTCGGGATCCGAGTTGCACTGTGGTCTTATTCCCGTGTATCTAGTCTGCTCTTCGGGTGTTCACAATTCGGTAGTTCTGTCCTTTCGTTGTGATTGGCCTGTTCCTTTTTTGCCGTGGTCTGGTTCCGCTCCACTTGATTGGGCTATCATATTAACTATTTTTAGTAGCTTTATTTAATTCGATTGTTAGTTTGATTGTCGTTAAGCTGTTTGATTATTTGTGTGGTCCCGAGCCCTTCAAGTGAAGGATTCGTTCGTAGCCGCTGTGATCGGGTCGATGTCGACGAGTTTGTTGATCGATTTCTGTACTACGCCCTGGCAAATTCCAGCTCCCGTTTTGTTTTGTCTGAGCAAGTATTTGGACGTCATCCCAATTGAAATGAAATCCTCCGTCTTCGTGAACTGAAACAAGTGACATTAGGTTGTCTTCCGCTAGCAAGCTTGTGTTCATGTATTCTGGTGGCAAGTATTCGTTTAGTCTGGCCAGTGTTTGTCGCAGTCGTCACATTGAGGTTTGTAGATCATGTTCGTCTTGTTCATTGTATCTAGTCCTCCCTTTCGTTTCGGGAAAGTTCTTCTAAGCATGTTTACAAACTTGAAGGCGATTGTTACTTCATCCTACCGTGAATGTCTTGCAGTCACTTCCGCGACGAAGAAACCAACAACCAGTCGGCACAAGCCAGCTACCTATATTCCACCTCATCGCCAGCTTGAGTCCTGAGTTGAAGCCCATGACATCAGTGACTCACAATTACAAGCCGTAGTGCCACATTGGTGGAGATCGCTTCTAAACCCTGACCGACAATAACTCATTCTGTCGCGACAAACGAAAGCCTATTACCCTCATTTTAGTAGTAATACCTCTGCCAATAGATTCATCATGGTCGACAGCGACGCCAGTTTTCAACGATGAAAAACAAAAATCCGCGTTTTGTGCGTCAAAATGCAGTAGTCCTCCGAGCACCATCAGGAGGAACGACCCAAGTGGTCTCATTTGAGTGACCGTCTTCCTACGTGAGGCATGCTTCAACTGTACGAATAAGTTATAATGTAGTTGCCTCGAATTTTGATAATACAACCATGTACTGGAGCTAGTGAATTAGTAGTGACCCTCCTCTATAACACCTGCAATTCAACGAACACCCCTGTATGGACTCTTCAACGACCATGGACACCGCCATCATTAGGAAGCCACCACCATATAACAACCGCTAACTGGAATTACATCACAGACTCGCGTTTGAGTCCAAGTTTTAGCGTGAATCTACTGTGATTACCTTCATTCCACTATGGATGCTTTATCCAGTATCGACTGTCCAGAGTAGTGTCGAGTCAATACAATTATAAGGAACCTTAGACATCGAGGAGCATGATATTATTAGGTGCATGTTTGTAACTAATCGGTTGATAAGCAGAAGGTTATACGCGTGTTTCCCAGAGGACAGTACAAAAGCTAGGTGCACCTTGGGTTACATAAATACGATCCCAAAACACAAATAGGTCAAAATTTGGGGAATGGTCGTGTTGATATGGCTTCCAGTTGACTAACACTTTAACGTTGATATCCGGATAACCAGAGGGACTTGACGCTCTGCGACTCCAATACGGGAGTGTCACGTGCGTCGTTCCGGCTGTTGTGAGCTGAGCGGAACTGCGTTCTGACGTGCGCGTCTTTTCAGGATGTGTGTGTGGTTAACCGTGTTGTGTCATGATCTACGTGTCGGTGCAACGAAGGTCGAACGTCAAAACAATGATGAAGGGTTACAAGGCGTCCTTCAAAAGGCCACGAAACCGGAGTTGACACGTTGTTCATCACGGTCGTATTCATGTCACGATGCCGACGCGTGATTGTGAGACAGACAAAACAGGATGGGAAGAGTAGAAGCAGGTGTGAAATTGATCGGAAGGGTAACCGCTACAATTACCCCTTCTCTCTTTCTCATAAAGAGGGACTATATAGGGGCTGTAAGTATGTGGGATATCGTCCGGTACAGACGAAATAGGATGGAGATAGTAGGTGCAAGTGTGAAATTGGTTGGTAGAGTCATTAAACGGAAGGGTAGCTGTTACAATGTTGCAATATGGACTTCAGTTCCAAGTTCTGAGTAAAGACGAGGATTCACCAAAGCTCCATTTTTTTAGTGCTTGGTCCCTAACGAGGGTCTCGTCACAAGCTTCAAAGAAACGGAAACTGTAGAAGTTTCGTACTGTACAATGTGGGACCTAAATCACTTGGTGAGGTCAGTGCCGCTATTTTTCAGGCACATGAAAACCCAAAGTACGAGTTTCGCATCCTCCCTTTTTTGCGATGGTACGTTACGTCAGTGAGTGTTCTTTTGTTGGGAAGTGACCTTTCTAGACGTATCAATTCCAACATTAACCTCACGATACCGGAGTGGTGGACGAATGTATATTTAATATCGTGGATATTTGTAAACTACCAGGAAGGTCAGATTCCTGAAAGCAACTTCAGAACGCCCGGAACCTACTGCTCCACTAAAAACTCAACAGGAAAGCCGGCAAGCATCCAGGCTAGTCAGTCATCAATCAATTCAGCAAAATCTGATGAGTGTTCTTGCACGCCACAGAAGCACGACCGAATGTGATCTGCGTTCGGGCATTTCATAGAGGCACGATCCATGTTGACGGGTGTTCACTAACGCCTATCAGACAGCCTGGATCAATGTCAGAAAGTCTCCATTAAATGGCGTGGGGCCGTTGTAACTTTTGCTCTCGCACGCACTCATGCTCTCGCACCCGCTTTGTTAGAATATAGCTATTGTGTTCCCTTCTGTGAGTCTTTTTTCTGCAGCATTAGGCACTGGAGCGGGTCAGCAGCAGATACCACAGACTGACGAATCAGCAGATATAACATAAACAATCGGTAGTCAGCTTTGTTTATCGAAATGCCGATTTAAGTCGTCATGCCCGTAAATTTAAGACAGGCATTACCGCATCGTCATTATCAAATCGTTCACATGCATCCTCACATAATAGAATGGATCTGTGGATCGCCGTTCACAAATGTATCTAAACAAACCAGGATGGTCAAATTCCGTTTATTGATAACGGGCTTGTGCTTTTATTCAGACACACGTACCCGTGTCTGTGTATGGACCCACAATCCCTGTGTGGTTAGCACGAGTTTGTTTGTCCACGCTGGGTATGGATACGTTTCATGTGGTTGTGCAGTGTCCCACATCCGCTAATGTTGAGTCAGATCCTCAATTGACAGGATACTGTGCTATTGTAAACAACTTCATTCAGCAGTCTGATGCTAATTTGTGGAGGATTTTCGACGTGCACCCCAACATTCGGAAACGCCTAAAATTCAAAATGTTTGGCTCAGCACCACCAAAATGGATGCCAGAATCACAGTAAGGTATGTGTATGCGTACAGCATTTGCAGTACACATTTCTAACCTCTGGACAATTAGTGTCGGCCAATACCAACGACATTCTAGAGGGGTTCGCCTTTATTTTGCCGGGTCGAACCATAAATCTTGTCTTTGGGGTATTGATACTGTGTTCTACACAGATGGTCTTCGTATGGTGCTGCGTTTCTCAAGTTAGGCTCGACTTTGCTACCAAGTTTCTGCATCCCAGTGGATTGCCAAAACGGAATTTAACCAAGGATGACACTGAATGCCACACTGACCTTCTCAGTACAGTGGAGTATATTTCCGAAGGATTGCTGTAATGGTTAAGGTCCACATAGCTGAAAATCACGGTTGGAAACATAAATCACGTTGGAAGAAACTTATGTGGCTACTCATGTGCCTACTTGGTGTATGAAAACCCAAAACACGAATTTTACATCCTGGTCACTACTGGTAGGAAAAAATGCTCCCAAATTGAACACCCAAATCTCACGGAGTCCGGGACGAAATTGTTTTGCGTGAGGGTGGGCTCTTGGGAAGAGCTACTGTACTTGATTTTCCACGTCAGCAGTTCATGAGTTCCCCTTTTACATGATGTTGTTTACTACCTAGTATGTTGACTGTTTTTTTGTTTGTTCAATCATATACCGCTTTTATCAACCAATCATGAAAAAAAGCTGAGTGAGGTTTGTTTGTTGCTTTGCGTAAAAAATACTGGTAAATTCGGTCGTGTAGCTAAAGAAACCATACCGAGCATAAGTCAATGCGCGCAGCCTTATGATAGTGTGAAAAAAGCACTGGTGCGGAAATGTCCACTAGGATGTGTTCTGTATTTATAAAAACGTCTTTTTGGTACGCAGGAGGCGCGAACTTACTGACCGGGATGTCCCTGGTTCGAACCCGAGTTGGGCATCTCGACTGCTTATATCCATGCTTGGGCAATCTGGCAGTAGCTCAGCCTACGTGCTTCATTCGGATAGCATGTCAGCTATACATCAAGAGGGTGTTATACACGAAAACAGTAAGTGACTCAAGAAGCATAAAGTAAACTAATATAGCAGTGTACACCAGTGCAACCAATCAAAGCTTTTCCCTTGTGCAGAAACTACCAGCGCTATTCAGTTTATTTTTGTTGATAATTTGTTGTCATCAGCTTCTATCGTATGATTAAATGTAGTGTTATTCGCTCCTCCCTAGCACATTACACAACTTTGTTATCTTTCAGAAAACATAAGCGTGGTTTTCCGAGGCAAATTAAGTGAGAACACTTGCGTTTATTGAGCGGCACTGATTGACATCTATGTCAGCCAGATCCTCCTCTCACTAACGACTGATGATGCGTTTTACTTCCACTGCACCGTTACTTGATGATTCCAGCGCCCCATAGTTAGCGGCTCTCGGTTGCTCTACTGGCATGTTGTAGACCACAGTACCATAATGCCTTCTAATTACCGTAAACCCCAGCCTGGATAGCCGCTTGATCGCCTGATGCGTTGTATTGATCACTGTCGCGTACAAGCGGTCGAAAGTGATACTAAGAATACAACTCATTTGTCAAGGGCGAGTGAAGAACAACCAATGAAATCTGTCTCAACGAAAAACGGTCATTCCACTGGCAGTTACGTTCGGAGCTGGTTCTCCTAATAGCATTCATACCTGAATTGTTCACGCATCGCCTTTATTTTTCGTAAGCTGCTTGAAATCTTTGTCATGCGGTCAAGTTCACCCGACCGAATTTTCAGTCAACTGTTCACCGACCAGTGAGTTGCTCTGTTGGCCTATCCACATGACCGGATGGAAACCAACCGGAAGCAACCAAACAAAACAAGCGTACGTTCACTTTGCAATCTAAGCTCGTTGTTAGCATTGATAGATGGAGTGCACGAGTGATATCGACTGAACTACCCACCCTGGAGTGCGCCTCATGGGCACATTTAGCCAAAACTAGGATGAATATTGACTTTCAGTGGTTACTGCTGCGCGAGATACAGCGTTCAAGGATGCAGCATGGTTGCTACGGTGACTCAAGATGCTTGTACAGGTCACACCTGAATAAGGCTCAGAGTGCATCATTCCAACAAGTCCATTTTCAAACAAGCGTTCTATCCTCTAGGGAGTTCAATCACTGCAGAGTTACTGACTGTTCAGTTTGATTCACTTCAGAATTCTGTCTAGAGAAAGCTCATGTGGACGGGACAATGCACACGCAATCATTGTTTTGTGCCTCTGAGGTAGAAGCGAACCACGATTTACAGCGTAACAATAGGACGCAGGCGGATCTACTCTGCGGATACACTGCACTTTGAAATGAGGCTCAGAAATAACAATTATCTAGAGAGGTTTATAGCCAAGAATATGTCTGAACCTCCAGTTCAACCGTTCATCACAACCGTTGAAAAAGGAGCCAATCTAACTGCGATTTGCTTGTTTCCATCGCTACAAAGCATATTCCGGACTACAACTGTGCGTGTATGGTGTAGATAGCTCAGTAGTTAGAGCGCGGATTTACTGACCGGAAGGTTCATGGTTTAAACCCGACCCCTGCCTCTCGACTTCCCCTGTCTAGGGCACCCGAACGAAGCACGAGGGCAGAGATACTTTCAGGTCACACAAGCTTAGGCATAAGCAGCCGAGAAACCAAAGTGGGTTTGAAATACAGACCATCCGGTCAGTAAGTGCGTACCATAACCACTGAGCTGTCTCGAACTACTATTATCCCGAAAGGCCAGAATGTTTCCTTATCTTGACAGAAATCAATGTCCCGCGCAGACGGCTGGAAGACGGGAAACTGAGGTCAACTGGCAAACATCTCAATATTCCCTCAAAACGAGTGAGCTTATCTATTCTAAATTTAGCCTCCACAAGGAGGAAAGTTTCGGCGAGTTGATCATGGGTGATCCTAACAGCATCGGCTCAAGGTCACCAAGTTCCACCGACGTAGTGCGAAAACTAATCGTAGTTTCAGGCGATCAGCATCGACACCCGAGGTCACCTTAACTAACAGTTGCATTCTTCACACAGTGATAGGAACAGTGGTATCTCGGTTAATTCAGCGTTAAGCTTGCACAGCATACGCTCGGGTGTAGACGATACGAGTGATCAAGCACCTCAAGCTCGCAAGGGCTATCAATCCGAAAAGGCGGATTTCGCACTTCATCACCAGCTATAAATAGCGTACATGCTGTACAGTGGTTACAGCTGCCACACTTGTCCACTGACGATCTGGGAAAACAAGGGTAGATAGCTACGCAATGAAGGCAGTAGTTGACAATTAACACGTGGCCATAGGCCTACCCGTATGATCGCAAGGTGACAGTCACCATATAGCAACGTACCTCAAGAAAACACCAGCGAAACTATCATGCACATAGAACGGGTAGCTATGCAACTGTTTTGCACAGTGAACCATAATTATCCACATGACATATAAAATCTGAGACACACGGCCAGACATAAAAACAACACCGGTTTACCTGATTTGGCCAAACCAATTTCGCGACTTCGAACTCAGTACTTGTGTCCAGCCTGTCGAGTCGCCCCAAATGATATCGGACCACCCTCATGAGGTTCTTCACGCATCGATCGTTGCCATCAGATAGCAATATGTAGTGTGGTTTCAGTGATGAAGGGGAGAGTGAAACACTCAAGCCAACCGCACCGGACATACCAGCACCCAGTTCGCATACGCGTCCCACAGATACATTCAGACGACTCCATAAAACCGGATAGAAATGAGGCACCAAGAAGACGTGTGCCAAAAGAAGCTCGCTCAACCACAAACGAACATTCCCCGTGTTATCAAAGCCAGAAAGAATGCGAAGCCGCTCCTTCAGATGGCGCGCACTCTCATCGGCCCAATACAAAGACCTGCCTATATTTAGGCGCAATGTTCTTGATGTACATTGGATCCTGGATTGTTGTGGATCATATGGCGTCAGTTCAATCCAATCACTGGAGCTTAAATTCTGTTAAGAAGATAAAAATAACCACGAAATAATCTGACCAGTAGAATGGCTGTCTCAACGCAGGGAGCATACACAAGAAATAGGTGTAAATGAAGAGAGGAAAAGCATCAAATTGTTCTTTCGTTGAATCCGAAATACAGACAGATTGTGAGACCTAAGTCAAGTGAAAGGCTGTACCAAGAGGGACTTACTGAAAATGTCAACAGAAATCCCGTGGAACGGACCCACACACTGACTCATGCACTCGATAGAGCATAGCCGACGAGGAATGCGTAACCAGGTCACCTTGCGCGAGCTTCACGAACAACTCCCATTCTTAGTGGTTGATTGCCACATTTTAAATTTAATTTCCAAAAGTGTTCGTACACTAACAATCGGCGTGGGGATGTAATAGCCTATCAGTAGCAGCCGGCCAGGTGGCAATGCCGGAAAAAATGTTTTCTATAAAAAGTTGCCAGCACCAGCAACCCAAACGCGCCTCTGAAGAACTCGAAGACCAACAGATTGCTCAGAGCAAACAACTCTGTGTACCTTGTAACACAGTTTTACATGCACATTTTCATGTGTCCATCAACAAGGTCAGGCAATACCTGGCAATACCTACCTGTGGCAAGGCTCAGTGAAACTCGGTTAATTACAGCGATCTACTGACGGCTGCCCGAAGGCTTAAGATGTCCGTCACGAATAGACTGGACCTCACCATGGTGACGGTTTGTGTTTCCCTGACCCATTGAGCAATACTGTGGGGGGTCTGTTCGACACTCAGTCTCTCACACCATGTTGGTCACTGGTTGGAACAATGGCCCTCCATGTTGGGGCCAGGAAAATGTGTGGCGACTTATTCTATAAAAATGATAATGTAATTGCGTTTCCCGCCAAATATCGCTGCCTTTTTTGAGCCAAAGGTTTTAATCGGGGACTCTAATTGACCCCTTGTCAGGTACACTGAGCAATTTGTGACGAACTTCCGATGAACTGGCAGCATAGACGACGTGGTGAGGACAAACAGGCCGTGCATTTCCGCCGACGATCATCCTGCATACGAAGGTCCTCAAGAAACGGATGGAAATCCCTAGTTAACATACGGGGACTTGCTCCAACTAATAGAACACCTCGAACAACCAAGAGGATATGACAAAGACGCATCAAATCCCAAGGTCTAGTGGACTTCGGTGGAGCAGCTGCTGTAGGGAATCCTGTGTTTCGTTTTTGAGCCATAGAGAAGTGTTTCCTCTTTAGCGATGATGCCGTTTTTCATCCCAATGGCAAATTTCACATAACTTGGTATTGAGTTGGACAATTCACGTCGTTACAGTCCTATCGCATTCATCAAACAGCTGGTATTCTTTGCCTAAAAGTCATAGGACGAATTGTTCCCTTAATATCACGTGAGTGTTAAGTCTCATTATAATTTATTGTTGTCTTATCATAAACACCAGTCGAAACCCCACATCCGGAGGAGCTGAATCAAATCAATGGTGTTTGATTCCAACAGTAAGTACTCCACCACACTACGCCTAGAGTGTACGCCAGTATCTGAGCGAAACATTTGGGGACAGGTACCTCAGCAAAAAAGGACCGTCCAGATCGCCGTGCTTGGGTCCCTAAACCTCTCTTTGGAGCTGTCTACAAGAGCCGATCAAGAATTCTTCGTGGACGGGGGTCAACTTAAGCGAACCCGGAGAAAATTGTAGCCAGCTGCTATACAGATGCCTTTGTGCAAACAACACGTTGATAAGGATTTTGAGCATTTCCTTCATCGACCTGTGAAATTTTTGTTCACGTCCTACCATACGAGTAAGATGCTTTTATTCAGAGAAGGGAAACTGCGGCAAACCTAGTCGGGACCTTGTAAATATCACTATGGATGCCGTTAGATAAGCCAAACCTGAGTTCAGAGATCGTATTCGTAACAGTGAAACTGGATGTATCGTCGGCGTTTCCATGCAGTCAGTCGATAAAGCAAATGAGACATTTATTAGATGATAATTAACTAGATGCTTTGTAGCAACCGCATGAAGTCTGGCGAAGTAAACGTATTGAGGCCGGGGAGGCTCCTTTCGCAGCAAAAATAGACTGCAAATGTGACCAAGCCCAATTCAATGAACACTCTGCTAGTTAACCAGAATTAATTCGGGTGATCGATGACTCACGTTTACGCGGCAAAGCAATAGAACCTGTCATATCCTCAAAAGTTTATATTAGGGACTTAAACTTAATGTTTGCTTATACTGCACAATTACACAACTATCCAACTGCTTGATTGCGAAGGAATATCCAAGCCAGCCCGTGAACTCATTTGCAGGAGCAAAGTCTCACTAGGGACACCAAGTACCATCAATCGGGAGGGCCCGAATTTCTACTGAAAGTGTACTGTCCGTTTCTCTATCACAACCAACATGGTTCACCTTGAGCACATCCCACCGACTATGAGACTGTGTGGGTGTCAAACTGAAACGTACAGAAATGAACATGAAAACAGTTTATCAGCGCTTGATGCAATGCTACTGCTCACTGTTATGCCATCATGCTTAAGCGAACACGGACTTCAGCTAGTCGCCGATCTTATTCCTTCGGGTATCTATCGGATATACAGGCTCGCATTCGGCTCTGTGCAAAAAGCGTGTTACAAATATGCCCAAACACCCATTGATCCAACCGCTGCTAACTGACAAATCTGCGTCGGATGCCAGTCAACAGTACATAGTTCATGTTAGTCTGTTATGATGTAAGCTGTCTATGCAACATTGGTGGTGAATCCGAATCCAGGATACACGAAATGGCCCAATGGTTAGAGCGCGGATTTACTGATCGGAAGGTCCGTGGTTCAAACCCGACCTCTGCATCTTGACTTCCCCCGTCTAGGTTTGGGCAGCCTGGCAGTATCCCAACCCTCGTGTTTCCTCCAGTTAGTACAGCAGATAGTCGCCGGAAGGGTGTTGCAGCTGAACGAACGAACAATGAACACATTCAATTAGGTATCGCAATTCATGAGACCGCTAATATAAACTGGGACCCGGAAAACTGTCGGGGTAAACCATTGAGTAGTCGACAAAATTTTCAGAAGTATTCACGGCTTCTCGAATAACGCATAAATGCGAAGGAAGTCACTTGAATCAACGGGACCACGGAAAATCTGGTCCTTGTAACAACATTTTTGTAGGCATGAGTGATTTTTCTATCCACTTACAACAATACATACGGGAGTACCACCATTCAGTCAGTACAAATACACTATTGTACTCACAGCTGACGCATAGCATAGGAACACTGTAATCATGAAACTCAATTGTCGCGCATGTCGAATGCAGTTAAGACGTAGCTATGCTTTGGGTATGAGTGGCCTCATGGGCGTCCGGTATTCCATACATGGAACATGTGGTGAGTAATGGGTCAACATTCACTGTAACTTCGGCACAAAGCGCTCCTTTGTTGATTCCCTAACAGGAGCAAAAAAATAGGGACGAGCCCTGTTGGCGATTTGGATACTGTGGTCAATAAATCAATGTAATGTAACTTCGGCCATAATGATGCCGAAATCTCGCCTTGTTTAGAGACCGACTCGGAGAGATGTGCAAAGTAAAGCCACCTCGTCGGTGTTAACAGCAGATTGAACTGAAGTTTAACGGCATCTCTCGTTTACGATATTCTTCAACTGAATGTGTTGTACAAAGACCACCTAGTTTTTCAACTGGTACGATATTTGAGAGTTCACAGTGCGTATGCTTGATAGAACACGCCACTTCACTTGCAAACGAGCGCATTTCACCAACTGTGTACAGTTTGGGGTTTAGGTAGAACTTAAGCTTGGTGGTAACATAGGGACTACACCTAGCTGATGAGTCCGAAAAGCCAAACTAGTCTAGGGCCCTCAGCAATGTTCAGCAACCTTATGAGTAGTGTCTCTTAAAGAGAACGACTATACTTCCTCGGCTGAACACAAACGGCTCGTTGATGGCGAGTGTGTTGCCCAGGTAATGTCCGGCTACTAGGGGACATGCAATTAAAAAACCTAGTCGTTCAGCTGATATATTCACTAAACGCAGAAGCGCCTAATCTGGAAATAACACTTCAAGCACCTCGTTTTTTAAATCGTCCTGCCACTTAATCTGAATGAACTCTGACGTTACACCGTCCCTCATAAAGGACTCCTTTTAAGAATCTTCCGGAACAGGTAGCATCATATACCGACCCTGTATATGATGCTGGTACTTGCATAACCTTGATGATAAACGAACTCGTAACACCTACAATTAGTTTGCTGAGATAAAGGCATACATAAAGTGCGACGGACCATGTCGCACTCATCCAGGAAGTTCATTGATCTATTCTTGTACGTGCATTGATCCAGCTATTTTAAACGAAGTAGTTCGTTGGAATTTTCTTCGGCAGGATAAAGGTACCCCTGGGACGGATCCGCCGACTTCCGAATGTTTATTTTTTATGTACCTAAATTTCCATCTCAGCATGCTGGAGCAATATCCTCTTGAAAACAGCTTCGGCTGAAGTGGTCTCTATCAGTTGCGGATTTACGTGAGGCAGCAGTGATTGTACGAAAAGGTCACTAAGGTCAGTGTTATCCATCACTGGTCTGCTTTCTAATCAACAGAGTAGGTAAGATTTATACGCTCCCCTCAAGCCTCCCGAGAGTGCCTGCAGCTGTCGCACGATTAAGGTCAAACTTGCCATCGCCCGGCCTAGTTTTAGTGGGCCCTGTCACAATGGGCTGGCTACAATTTGCTAACCTCACTGATAGACCCGGGAAGAAACTTGGCACACTATTTCAACGTGCGTGATAAAAGCACTGCCTAGGGGAAAGACCACATTAGATCGACCGATGTGCTGGAGCACCCGAGTAGATAAAGTTGGTTGCGGAAAAAGAATAAATTGAAAGTGATAACTGAAGCTTGAATCTTTAAGTCAGTCAAGGGACTGAAAGAGAAACGGCTTCTAGCTTATTGATCAGACAACACCAGCTGTTTTGTGCTAACTATCCAGCTACAGTGATGCCTTCAACACACACCCCTTGAAGACGGGCTGTTTCTCAAGGGATAACAGCACATCCATAGAGTTTGTGATTTCCATCTATCTTGCGACGTTACTCCCGAAGATATTCACGAAATCCAAGCTCTTGAGGAAAGTGCAACACATATGGTACGGAATTTCGGACGACGTATGCTTAAGACGCAAGCTCGTGCTGGCCGCACGCGAGAGTTATGTTTCTGAATTCGAGGGATCTCAATTGGAGAAATACAGAGTAAACATTTAGTCGGCCGTTTTCAGATTCCATACAATCAATTTGTTTTTCATGACCAATATGGAAGACCACGGTTGGATGTCCACTGGACCCTTTTTGGATATGCATCTAAGCTTATTGGGACTTTACACCACAACGTCTAATTTTCACCTCTGATCGTTCATCGGTATCCAATCAATGAAAATCATTCAGCTATAGCATCCTTCTTTGGCCTAGCTACCATGTCAACCGAACGAGGCGTGAGAGCTGAGACATTGTCTCACCGCTCACGCTCTGGCAGAAGCAGTCGAGCTGTAGAGTTTAGATTCAAGCAATTGACTTGCGATCAGTAAGTTCGCGTCTTAACCACTGAGCGATCTCAAGTTCAAAAATTATCATAGGGTACTCACCCCTGGTATGTGCATATCGACTCGTGGCTCAGTGGTTAGACAGCGAATTTAATGATGGGAAAGTCCATGGTTCCAACCGGGCCTCTCTCTCGACTTTCCCTGTCTAGGTTTGAGCAACCTGACAGTATCCCAGCCCTTGTGCTTCCTTCTGGTGGCATGGCAACTAGGCAACTGAAGGGTGTTACAGCTGAACGACTATTACTACTATGCTCCAACGGCTACTTGAAACATCTGACCAGATCCTAAAAAGACTCCCCATCATAGGTATACCGTTTCGATCATTCTTCTGTGACATTTCGTAGCTCTCGAGCGAGATATTGCTTCTAGCAGATTCCAGTGGCGATCTCGTTGTCAGTTTCTATCCAGATTGCCTGAATGCGTGTTTGTAGGTGTAGGCACCTCGCAATGATTGTAGTAAGCCAGCACTAAGTCCCTTCCCCTTCTTTTCTTCACAATAAGGCTTTCAATTAAATCACGGTTGTACGGCAGTGAAACAGCGGCGCTGAACACTGATGTTGTACTGTCGATGGTGGTGAGCTCCCGAGCACATTGTTTGTGATAAGTTGTTTTAGATGATTGTTGATGTAAGGAATTTTGAGAATCTTCAGTTGGGATTTCGTTCTGTATTTGAAGCGTCTATACTGAAAAGCCGAGGAACACTGTACAGCTGTTATATCCTTATTCGGGGAACACGAGCAGTGCGCGTCTCACGAAACCCTAGAGAGTTTCAAACCCGCGAACTCCCGGCTACTAGTTTGGGTACTTCCGGCATCATAAAGTCGTTCTTAACAATCCAGTGTACAAAACCTCAGCATGGAGTGAACGCAGGGCTTCTGAAGACGTCATGACACGCCGCAGAAGCGTTTGAAACCCGATCACTTTGGAAACAAAACTGCATGTCCCCATAACAGATAGCTGACAAACCCCACCACCAGCAGCGCGTTTTAGTTATACGATGGTTCGGAACTACCTGAAATTCACAGATGAGTGACTGTACAGGATATACAAGTGCGAAACTGAATAGTCAATGCAGTGACTCACAGTTTTAGTAGAGTCGGTGTCAGGGCACACCAATAGAGGGGATGTTTTGAACAGCTTAAGAGACATTTTGCCAGATATGTGATGTTCCTCGCTAATTGCTTCAAGGCTGCGGTAACCTAAAACAGCGCTCGCCAGAACCTTCCATCGTGCTTTGGCACCCTTCATGGAGGTATCCATCCTGAAGTCAGCTGAAAAACCAAAAGCAATGCTTATGAGGTACTATGGGTTATATTTACGAAATAAAGTCGCGAGCTTCTTTAAGAAGTTTCTACACCTCCAGCAACAGCAACGGCTTCGATTTCAACTTTGGCAGACTAAGAAAATGAGCACCACGTTACCTTAATGAACGACATACCTTCGGCAGACAGGCTACCTGAAATGCAGCCCTGGCGGGGTATGGATTTTGAAAGTCTATTGATACATCAGTTATTCAGGGCACTGCTTACATTCTGCATACACCGCGTTCACCTTGGCGAAATCATCCATATCTGCTAAAAGTACGGTCGTCTTGACGACGTTGTTTAAAGTCAACCCAACTGCCTCAAGTATGGCGCTTATATTACGAATGGACTGACGTGTTTGCGCCTCCACTTCATCTGACACAAAGTTCATTGTGTCCGGATCCAAGCCCAGTTGCCCCGAAACGTACACTGTATTGTTGACTGAAATACCCTGGCTTACATTTTCCAAAAGGACAATTATCATCCCTACCTGTAAGGACCTATTGCTGTCGGTGCTTTACTGGTCTTAATCACCGAACGCGACAAGGAGGACATTGCAACCCGACAAAAACGAACGACTGACAGAGCGAAACGAGGGCATACCAAACTCACAAGCTCCCGGCTTTATAGCCCATTCGCGAGCGCCAAATTGTCAAGGTCAAGGGTGCTGCCATTCACGGATTGGTACACAGGATCGAGGCTTTTGCCTGAGATTCCCGGTATGGTTTTGTTCTTGTCTTTCAGCAGCTGTCGCTCACCTGAAAGGCACAAGTGAAGAAAGGGTGTAGCACTGTTCTTTACGTTCTCACTGCGGGGCAGTATGCTTGCCAGCGCGAGGACTCGCATAAATAAATGTCTAGTAGTGCCTTGAACTGGATTCTAGAAGGATTATGGACAACCGTCGGAGGAAGGTCATTCCATGCAGCTAATCCCCATGACAGTTAATATCCCTGACCCAGGAGTAAGGGACCAGGAACCCATGAAACTGGTTCGGTCTTGTTCTTAGATTGCTAAAATTTATTTACGTTTACCCTGTGCTGAGTTGTGATGTGTCATTTGGTTCGAATACATTACACAAAATTATCACACACAATTTTGCATGTGAGAAACGTCTTATCAGGTTGAAAACATTATTTGAACGAAGGTAACTTTGCATACAGCATTGGTATTTGATGGTATAAATTCGAAAACCGAAAATCGTCACACATTAGTTTTGTTAATATTTGTTTAAACTTACTCGTGGCAGACCATGGGGGCGGAATCCTTATTCTTAGCAAATGACAGTACTCAGCGCTACCTGTCTGCTAAAGGGGTGGCAGACTTCGCGGAGAATTGAGCAAACCCACGTTTCTTCCTTCAACGCACTTGAAATTCTCTGAGAGTACGTGGAAAATAAATGCGATTTTCCAATGAAACTCAGAAAGGAGCAACAACCGGTGATATTTGTCTGAAAAATGTATCGCTGAAGCAGGTCTGCCGCCAGAAATGCTAAGGCATGCAACTCGGTCGCAGCTAGTAAGACTGGGGAATTTCATGTCAGAGAGCACACCGTTGTAATATACACGCTATGGGAGCACCAGGGGACAGTGATTCCCGGAAGGCAGGTGCTCACGACAATTTCTGTGGATGGAAAACAGAAACAAAGCTCATGACCCAAAGCCCAGTAAGCAAGGTTGTACATCACCAATACTTACATATGAATCAATCAAAATGACAGACACCCTATGCTCCACTGTGTCAGGCGCCCGGCGAGGTTCCAGTTCCTCCCTTGACGGTGAGTGTCTTCTTTAAGGGATTCGTCAAACAGGCTCCATTTTGTCGAGGTAACCGCAGTCCAACGGCTCCCTTTTGACAAACTAAAGGATTATGTTTCCCTGCTGAAGTACTGAATCACATATCGGAGGAGCTGCATTATGCAGCAAATAAATTCGGGAAGATGCTGACCAGCCAAGGTGTCTACAGCCAACGCGTCCTGAGCTGAAATCTGCTCTTAGTTCGTTGTTCATGCCTTAACTAATTAAATAGATGGTATGTCATCGGTCCTTGCGAACTTTCGCAAGTGTGGCCAAATATTGAAGGGGGAATCCGGTGATGGTCCCTCAAGCCATGTATGTCTTCCCACATTAAATATACAGATCTGTCTCGAAGTTTACATATGCATTAGGCCTTAAAGCTATGCATGGGACGGCACTAATAACTGGGTAAATTTCCTCAGTAGGCCTGAATATTACGGCACATGTACAAGACAAGATCTGTCTCGAAGTTTACATATGCATTAAGCCTTAAAGCCATGCATGGGACGGCACTAATAACTGAGTAAATTTCCTCAGGAGGCCTGAATATTACAGCACATGTACAAGACGTACGCCTTCCTTGTGACGGCTGGCATGCGAATAGGATGACCGTTCGCGCAGGCCTTTGCGGAAAGCGACCATTTGGTTCGTTTGCGGGAGTTGTTCAGCATGCCCAATGATAGGCTGCGTAGGCAGCACTAAATTGAAGTACTCGCCGTGGATCAACTAATAGCGCAATTTCTGGCTGCAAAGCTGTGTTCGCCTAGGAATTTTCATGCACGCCAGGTTATTTACATGCACGTACGTCCCACTAAAACGCGCAATTTTGCAAACCATCTTCAAACGCGGTCGACAAATTCCACCACTTGGACCGCCCTGGCGATTCGGTTGAGCAAGCAACCAGCCGTCAGATAACACCGACATTAATTTCGTCAATCCTTGATACGCTTCCGGTGAACCGCCCCTGGCTTTGTTCAATATCTGAAGACCATTGTAGATCATTCGCACATGCGCCATACATGCACAGCGCGGGATGGTTCACTTTAGAAACGTCACCAACAGCCATCCTGTGCGATGCTCATAGGTCGAAACGTCCCAACCAGTAGGTCTTCCGGCACAGCTAGATGCTCGAGTGGGAGTACGGGATGCAGGCCAATAATTGCAGTGACCAGAGAGGAATTCGGTGTAATCCTGTGAGAAATATTTGTTTTCGTCGTTTAACATGAAGATATGTACCAAACACTAATATCTCAGGAGCACTGTCCCAAGATTGACCGCTGTAGCATAGGAAATACGTTGTCCATTTTTACCAAATTTTTATTCGATACTCCCAAGCGACCTCAAATGGTCATCAGCTTGGCTGTTACCTGCGCGTTCATTTTCTGGCAACTCATGTGACTACAGT